ATTGAGGACCCAGTTTGTGGGGGCAATAAGCTGACTTTGTATAAATATACAAAAGGATGAAGGCTATTGCTGAGCACATTGTAAGCCGCCCTGAGTCTCCGGATAAGGGCGGCATATAAATCAAATTAAAAAAAAAAAAAAGTTGGAATTTCTGCCCCCCCCCTCCAACCCACACAAAAAGACCCCGAAAGGGAAGACTCTCTGCAGCAACACAAACGTTCATTGCACATATCTGGCCCAGGGGGCGTAGTTTGAGGACCCTTGATTTAGTGCAATATTAAAAAATGCAAATAATTTTTCTGCGGACCACCAAAATTTTCTCGTGGACCACCAGTTGGTGACCGCTGATCTGGGCAACAGGTGTGTGAGCTCAAACGGGGTAAGGCTCACAAGCAGTTGCACGCAGAAGGCCTCCACCCCCTCACCAGATGTGGCCCTGTCCAGCTGTTTCCAAGCTCAGCCAGAGGTCGCTTAGAGTCCTGTTTGGTCACTTTCCAGGACGAACCTCCCAAAACTGGAATGCTCCCCGACAAACCAGAAAGGGGTGCCCTTGTTTTTTTTTTTTTTTTTTTATTTATATGCCGCCCTTCTCCGGAGACTCAGGGCGGCTTACAATGCGTTAAGCAATAGCCTTCATCCTTTTGTATATTTATACAAAGTCAGTTTATTGCCCCCACAACTGGGTCCTCATTTCACCTACCTTAGAAAGGATGGAAGGCTGAGTCAACCTTGAGCCTTGGCGAGATTCGAACCCTGCAGTAATTGCAGGCAGCTGGTCTTAATAACCAGCTTAATAACAGGGTGCCTTAAACTCCTGTACTACCAAGGCTCTTTGAGAGCCTCTTTGAGAGCTGCTTTTCACAAGAGCAGTGAGGAAAGAGCTGGAGCTGCAGACACCCCGCCAATTTAGCCTGGCTAGGTGGCTCAGTGGCTAAGACACTGAGCTTGTTGATCAGAAAGGTCGGCAGTTTGGCGGTTCAAATCTCTAGTATAGGTCTCCTGCGTGAGCAAGGGGTTGGACTAGATGACCTCCAAGGTCCCTTCCAACTCTGTTACTGTTACTGCCCTTCACCCTCTTTGGGTTTTGTGGTTCTCGGTGTTTAACAACTGCTTCTCTGCCCTAATGACTGGCTGGGTAGGCGTGGCTGGGAGGGGTGTCATGTGACTGGTGGAAATGAGTGACGTTGAGTTGGCCACGCCCACCCAGGTTTTGTGGCTCCCGGTCTTTTCTTTTCTACGGGGAAACGAGTCCAAATGGCTCTTTGAGTGTTTAAGATTGGAGACCCCTGGCCTGGGCCCAGAAATCAGATTAATGACATGCCTCAAACAGTCCGGCCTTTAGTTCGCCTGAGGATAAAATGGAGGGAGCGGAAAGCCCATCTGGATTGCAAGATTCTGTTATGATAAGTTTTTTCTAAAGAGGAGTGCATTGATTTCGGTCTCGTTCAACTAAGAAAAGCCCATCCTCCCCTGCCGAAAAGGGCTTTTTTTTAAAAAAAAAATTGATTTATATGCCGCCCTTCTCCGGAGACTCAGGGCGGCTTACAATGCGCTAAGCAATAGCCTTCATCCTTTTTTTATATTTATACAAAGTCAGCTTATTGCCCCCACAAACTGGGTCCTCAATTTACCTACCTTAGAAAGGATGGAAGGCTGAGTCAACCTTGAGCCTGGCGAGATTCGAGCCTGCAGTAATTGCAGGCAGCTGGTCTTAACAACAGGGTGCTTTAGACCACTGTACTACCAAGGGTCTTGAATGACCGGGGATAACATGTCCCATCAGATAATTCCGTTAGAAAGGAAAAAGAAAAGGTGTCCCTCGTTCACCTGAAGACAAATGGTGGGACGGGGGAAGGATATCCAGACTGCAAGATTTGGTCATGATACATTTTTTAAAAGGATAGTCCCGATGTAGCCAAAAGCATTTTTTTTTTAGCCTGCGCTACCTTGTTGGGCTGATAAAAGAGCATTGAATGACATGGTATAACTTGTCCCTTTCTACCTTTCCACTTCTCCGTGATCTACCTTTCAGGTGGATCACGGAGAGGAACTGGGGCAGCCCCTACCTGGGCTCTGACACCTTCAGGCAGGAATAGCACAGGGAGGGTCTGGAGGAGCCTGGAAGGAGAAAAGGGGGAAGGAGAGAATTGGGGAGACTGCATCTCCAGCTCCTCCCTCGAGGCCTTTGTGAAAAGCCCCTCTCCTCCAACAGGGAGACCAGCCAGGCTTCCTCTTCCTGGAAGCTGCACCACATTCAGGAAAAGCCACTCTCTCTTTTACAGTCCCTCCCGAAATTTTCCTCATCAGGTGGGAGCTGATTGGAGGAGAGCCTTGGGCAGATTCAGGGCGGGGGAATCGAGGAGGAGGAAGAATCGGCCTGAAATGGAATGGGACAATTGAACGTGGCTGCCTTAACACGCAGTGGTGGGTTCCTCCCGGTTCGGCCCGGTTCTCCCGAGCCGGTAGCGGTGACAATATGACGTCACCGAACCGGTTCTGCCCCTCGCACCCCGCGCCCCACTCTCACCCCCCGCATTATTCTTACCTTTAATTTGGCCCCACCCGCAGTCTATTGCTGCCTCCTGAGTTCCAGCTGATGGCTAGAGGGAAAAAACCTGTTTAAACTCTTGCCGCAGGGCCACCCTACAGCTGATCAGTGTTAAAAGAAAACAAATGAGTAGACCAGTGCCTGCAAAAAATAAATGGGTAGATCGGTACAGCTCTGCAAGCAGTTAAAAGCCTGGTAGACCAGTACCTCTGCTAAATCCTAAATAATTGTCACATGACCATCAAGCCACGCCCACAAAATAAGCCACGCCCACAGAACCGGTAGTAAAAATATTTAGAACCCACCCGTTAACACGCCCCGCTGCATCTCAGGCATCAGACCTTGGCTGATCCAACATGGATCCTTTCCCGCCATTGGTCGGCCAGCGATCTTTTTCCCCCCATCTCCCGCCCCAATGATTTTGTGTGTGCGTGCATGCGTGTGTGAGTGAGAGAGAGAGCGCCCTTTTTTGTAAGTTTGCTTACTCTGCAACGCTCGCCATTCCCCACACTTTTTCTGTCTGTCTGTCTGTCTCTCTCTCTCTTTCACATCCACACACCCACCCACTCTGCTTTCTCGCTCCTTCCTTCCAGCAGCACCTGGACGGGAGTTGGTTAAAAAGAAGAGACGGGTGTGTGTGTGTGTGTGATGATAAATGTAATGATAAATGGAGAATTGACTGATTCTATTGAAATAGAAAAAGGTACTAGACAAGGATGCCCACTGTCCGCACTGTTGTTTATATTGACATTGGAAGTCTTAAATAGAAATATTAGGGAAGAAAAAGATATAAAAGGCATGAGAATTCAAAGAGAAGAATATAAACTGTAAGCATTTGCTGATGATCTGGTATTTATTATTGAAGAACCACTAACATCAATAAATGGAGCCTTGGTAGTACAGTGGTTTAATGCACCCTGTTATTAACACAGCTGCCTGCAATTTCTGCAGGTTCGAATCTTACCAGGCTCAAGGTTGACTCAGCCTTCCATCCTTTCTAAGGTAGGTTAAATGAGGACCCAGTTTGTGGGGGCAATAAACTGACTTTGTATAAATATACAAAAGTATGAAGGCTATTGCTTAACGCACAGTATGCCGCCCTTCTCCGGAGAAGGGCGGCATATAAATCAAATTTAAAATAAAAATAAAAATAAATAAATAAATTGATAAGAGAACATTGGAGAATTCGGGAAAGTAGCTGGTTTGAAAATTAATAAAGATAAAATGAAGATTTTGACTAAAAATATGTTGATAAAGCAAAAAGATGAACTGATGGAGATATCCAAGATGCAAGTTACAAATAAGATTAAATATTTGGAGATATATTTGACAGCGAGATGCAGTACACTTAAAGAAAATAATTATAATAAACTTAAGCAACAAATAGGGACAGATTTGGCGAAATGGGGAAATTTGCAGCTTTCTTTGATTGGTAGGATATCCACTATTAAGATGAATATTTTGCCTAGACTTTTATATTTGTTCCAGACAATTCCAATTAAATTGGGGAAAGACTTTTTTGAAGACTTGAATAGAAAGGTGTTGAAATATATTTGGCAGGGAAAGAAGGCGAGGATAAAATTAAAGTTGCTACAAGATGCTAGAATGAGGGGAGGCTTTGGTTTACCTAATTGGGAACTTTACTATCAAGCAACAAGTTTGATGTGGATTAAAGAATGGAAAACTTTGTGAAATACTAGATTATTGAATTTAAAAGGGCATGATTTGTTGATGGGGTGGCATGCAGGAGTATTTTAGAAGACATCAGTTACGTGAAGCTTTGTTACTGAATTGGAAGAAGATTAAAAAGCAACATTATTTGAAAATTCCAGTCTGGGTATCTACAATAGAAGCATTTTCATATTCAGTAGTATTTAGAAGGGAACAAATTGTTAGATATAATGAATTAATGGATGAAAAGGGTGAACTTAAATTGAAGCAAGAATTAGAAGAACAAGGTCTTAAGATGGATTGGTTTTCTTATTGGCAAATACGTTCTAGAAGAACGTATGAAGAAGATCTTAAGAAAGTTTTTACAATGTTATGACTAACTTAGATAAGATGTTAATGGGTTCTGATCACTATGTAATTAAAAAATTATATGGATATTTGCAAGAGGTAAAATTGGAAGAAGAACAAGTTAAAGAACCAATGATAGCATGGGGGAAAAATTTTGGTCATGGTATTGATTTAGAGAAATGGCAAAAATTGTGGGTGCAAAATTATAAAATGACAATTTCTACAGCATATAAGGAGAATTTGTATAAGATGTTTTACAGGTGGCATCTACCTCCGACGAGGATAGCCAGAATGTTCAAGAATAAATTGGAGAAATGTTGGAAGTGTCATCAAACTCCAGGATCATACTACCATATGTGGTGGACATATGTAGAAGCTAAGAGATATTGGACTAAGATACACATGTGGTTGGAAAAAATGATATAGAAACACATTGACTTTAAACCAGAGGTATTTTTATTAGGGATTTTACCAGAAACATATAACAGAGAATTGCAATATTTAATTGTGAATGTTCTAACAGCGGCTAGAATTGTATTTGCTGAAAATTGGAAAGGAGCGAAGTTACCTACTGAGGAAGAGGTTATTAAGAAAATTATGGAATGTGCTGAAATGGGTAAATTGACATTTGAAATTAGAGAACAGGAAGATAAACAATATTATCTGATATGGGATTTGTTTTAGCAATGGATAGACAATAAAACATGGAGATGAAATATGAAATATGAGATTGATGTAAAGATAAAATATGTGAAGTTCTTTCTTATGAGAAATAAGCTTCTGTCACAAATTGGTACTTTGGAAATGGGATTAAGCACAAAAGAATGTTAACCAATCGACACACTGTCTGTAATTGTTTGGAATGACGATGGTTTTATGTTTTGTTTTTGTTTTAAAATAAAAAAAATATTTTCTGTGGAAATTGGGATCGTAGAAACACCCAGGAGCATAGAAGAGTCCAAAGGCAGATGCATGAATAAATGTGATAAATGTATTTATTCATATAACAAAACATATTAACTATATACAAAGGCTGTCTTAATATCCATTAGGATAGGGGGCACACAGTGTGTGTGACTACCCCTATCAAAGATCATGTCTCATGGAGAACAAACGTAAAAGAGAGCATGGTGGAAAGGTTAGAGGGGGTTTTATACTCAGTGTAAGCCCCTCCTCTCCACATAGGGGTGGGGGCACTTTCTGCCTCCACTAGTGTCTGTATGATACATGTGCCAATGGCTTGCAAATACTTGACATTTTCAAAAAAAAAAGAGACGGGGGTTGAGAGACAGGGGGGAGCTCCTTTGTGTGTTTTTTCAGTTTGACCTCCCCCACCTCCTTTCACCCAACCGGCAGTAGGACCAGGAATTTATGGTTTTATTCTGACCGGCAACATTGGGGTCTAGACTGCAAGAGATAGGGGTTCTTTTATAACTTGCCTAGATTCCCATCCAAGACGTCCCCAAACTCAGTTAGCAGCTTCTCGAGATGGTCTCCTTGGACAGGGTGGATGCCGGTCACCCCCAAGCCCAGGGGTCTGAACCATTCTACCCCCAGCAGGCTCTCCACGACGGTCAGCTGCAACGGTCCGCTGAACTCTTTAAATTTCACTTGGACGGATGCTCTTCCCAGAACAGGAATACGCTTTCCTTGGAAGTCGTTTAATATAATTCAAGCACTCAAGCACTCGTCATCTCTCGTCTGGACTATTGTAACACTCTCTACATGGGGCTCCCCTTGGGGTACACCCGGAGGCTCCAACTGGTGCAGAATGCGGCCGTGCGGGGGATTATGGGCGCTCCCATGTGATTCCTCTCCTGCGCGAGCTGCATTGGCTTCCGGTGGACTTCCGGGTGCGCTTCAAGGTGTTGGTGATCACCTTTAAAGCGCTCCATGGCTTAGGGCCAGGGTACTTACGGGACCGCCTTCTGCCACCAATAGCCTCCCGCCGGCCAGTTCGCTCCCACAGAGAGGGCCTCTTCAGGGTGCCGTCAGCTAGACAATGCTGGCTTGCGACCCCCAGGAGGAGAGCCTTCTCTGTGGTGGCACCTACCCTTTGGAACAATCTACCCCCAGAGATACGAGTGATTTCCGACCTCCGGACTTTTCGTCGGGCCCTAAAAACTCATCTCTTTCAGTTAGCCAGTCTCTCTTGATTGTATGATTTTATGGTTGGTTTTAAATTTTGATATGGATTTCAAATTGATAAATTTTAAACTATGGGCCAAATTTAATTATTTTAAATCTATTTTTAATCGTACCTTATGTATAAATGTTTTTATTTTGGCTGTTCACCGCCCTGAGTCCGAAAGGAGAAGGGCGGTATAGAAATTCGAATAATAAATAAATAAATAAATAAATAATTCTCTGCGGCTTTAGGTGTTTCTGCTCCATTTTTGGGATTAGTTCCTTAATGGTCTGCCAGGACACGATGGTGAAAAACGAACCAGTGTCCAATTCCATGTGACACGGGGATCCCTCAGTGTGGATGGTAACATGGAATTTCTCCGCAACACATGCATCGGAATGCCCCACGGTTGTCTAGTGGGTTCCGCTCGTTTCTGGGTATTGGCCCTCTCTTCGCTTATTCCTCCGGAAACCCGATTGTGGGGCAAATGGCCGAGCTGGGGAAACTGGTTGCCTCTGGTGAAAGGAACTTGGCTGGGTTGCTCGGCAAGCCTCTGCTATATGTCCCTTCCGTTGGCATTGCCGGCATATGGCGTCTTTAAACTCACATGCCGATCTGGGATGATTTCCCGCGCAACCGGCACAATGGAAATATTTATATCCCACCTCCGAATGTCCTACCTTCCTTTCGGAATTTATGCGATGAATTTCGTCTTCCCCATTGGTGGTTTCTTCCGATTCTGTGTTATCTTGCTGTCCAGCGGCCGCTCCTCGCGGGAGACAGACACCGTTTGATTTCCTGATGGTCGCTGCGGATTTATCAGAGGATTCGGCTGCCTGGGCTTTGTCTAGGGCGGCTTGAAACGTGATGTGCCCTTCCGCCAACAGTTGTTTTTTTAGGGACAGGTCCCTCAGACCCAAAACGAGCCTATCTCACATCATTTCTTCTAGATCGATAAATTCACATTCAGATGCGATTTCCCTCAGATTTGCAACAAAGTCATTGATGGTCTCACCCTCCTGTTGGCATCTGCAATAAAACTGGTGCCTGCTAACAAGTGGCGATGCCGAGGGTGCATAATGATCCTTTAATATACTCTGAAGTGTTGTCCACGATAGGGTCTTTACATCGGTTGGTGCTGCTAAGGATTTAGCCATCCGGTAAATTCGCGGCCCACAATAACATAGAAAAAAATGCCCTTTTCCTTGAGTCCGACACATCTTGAAAATTATTCTCCTCCATAAAGATTTGAAATCGATCCATATTAGGAAGACCATTTTTCGGTATTAGGGTTGAAAGGAGCTGGTGGAGCATGTGTGGTCATCTTGGAATGGCCGATGCAGGCTGCTGTTTGCTAGGAAGATGGCCGCTGATGCCACGCAGATGGTCAGTCCTTCTTTGTCCTCTTCTAGGATCCCACCTGAGTGGATTGAGGGAAGAGGCAGGAAGAGTCTCGTGAGAAAACAGCTCTTTATTCTAAACCGGGATAAAACCAGGGGTGAAATGTAAAATTTGTTACTACCGGTTCTGTGGGCGTGGCTGGGGGGGGGTTTAATGTGACTGGGTGGGCGTGGCCAATTTTTTTTTTCAACTTTTCAAAGCATTTTTTTCTAATGCTTTGAAAAGCCTCTGCCAATCAGGAAACTCAGCTGGGATCGTCAGAGACTTTTCAAAGCATTTTTTTAACCACCTCTTCGGCCAAGAGGCTGCAGAAAAAAAATGCTTTGAAAAGCCTCTGACTATCTCAGCTGAGCCGCGCGATCATCAGAGGCTTTTTTTTTTTACTTTTAAAAGCATTTTTTCGTCGGAAGAGGTTGTAGAAAAAATGCTTTTAATAGTTAAAAAAAAGCCTCTGATGATCCTGCGGCTCAGCTGGGCATGGGGAGGGGTGCAGGGATTTTTGCTATCGGTTCTCCGAACCACCCGCCACTATCGCTACTGGATTGGGTGATCCAGTCCGAACCGGGAGCATTTCACCCCTGGATAAAACGTGTGTGCTTCCTGGCAGCTCCCTCTTTTAAAGGGAGCTGTCCAGGCAGCTCAGCCAATGACAGTCCTCCGATTTCCTGCCTGGAAATTGGACCAGTGGGTGAGGCTTTACCCCAGGGGTCTCCAAACTTGGCAGCTTTAAGACTTGTAGACTTCAACTCCCAGAGTTCCTCAGCCAGCAAAGCTGGGAGTTGAAGTCCTCAAGTCTTAAAGTTGCCAAGTTTGGAGACCCCTGCTTGACCCCCCTTTTTCATATTTAACAGGCTTCTCTCTCTCTCTCTCTCTCTCTCCCTCTCTGTCTCAGTATCTCTCTCTCTTTTTCTTTGTCCTCATCCTCCCTTCTCAAAACTAGTGCTGGAAGATATGATTCACTCCTTTCCTAGAAACAAAGAAAAGAAACTAAAAAAATATTAAAAGAGCAGGGAAATTCCCCTAAAAGAAAATAAGCAGCCCCCACCTTTATCAATGGGCCACTAAGAATCTGAAGCCATCCTATTTTTCACAACAAAGGAAGGACAAAATTACAGGGGCCTGCCAAAGGGGTATGGGACACAGAAAAAAGGCAAACAGCCAAAAAGGAAAAGAAATCAAGCCAAACTAATTTGAATTTTAAACACATGAGAAAAGGAGATATTCACTAAAACACAGTAATAGCAAACTGAATAATATTTATTTACTTACTTACTTACTTACTTACTTATTTTTATTTTATTATTTTATTTTATTTTATTTTATTTCATTTTATTTTTTTAATTTTATTTATTTATTTTATTATATTTTATTTTATTATATTTTATTATATTTTATTATATTTTATTATATTTTATTTTATTATATTTTATTATATTTTATTATATTATATTATATTATATTATATTATATTATATTATATTATATTATTTTATATTATTTTATTTTATTTTATTTTATTTTATTTTATTTTATTTATTTTATTTTATTTTATTTTATTTTATTTTATTTTATTTTATTTTATTATATTATATTATATTATATTATATTATATTTATTTTATTTTATTTTATTTTATTTTATTTTATTTTATTTTATTTTATTTTATTTTATTTTATTATTTTATTTTATTTTATTTTATTTTATTTTATTTATTTTATTTTATTTTATTTTATTTTATTTTATGAGATTTATATGCCGCCCTATCTCCAGCTGGACTCAGGGCGGCTCACAACAGTAAAAAAAAACATCTAATGAAAAAGTTAAAAAAGAAATTAAATCCAAATCTCATAATTTAACAGTTAAAAGTGCAATTAAGACTAACGTTAAAAATTAAATTAATTATAGGGAACGAACAACTACAAAGGGCTAGGAAAAACAGAGATTGGACTATAAAACAATTATTTATTTGCCAGATCCAGGACGGAAGAACCCAATCACAAAAAAAAAAAAGCATGATTTAACACCATAAAACAATCACACACGCACATCAAAGGCTTCACATGCCAAATCAAAAGAATTTCAAAAGACTTTAAAGGGTCACATAGAAAAATCAAAAGACCTTTTAGGATATAAAAAGGGGTTTTTCTTACAGTTCAAACAGGCTAGCCTCGGAATGCTGTGCTTGTATTTGTTTCTTGCCTGCCTTCCTATAAACAATAAACTAAGTCTGCTCTCAAGCAGCTGACCTCCAATCCTTTCCAAGTAATCTCCCAGCCGGGAGTTTTGAATTGAAGAAGGGAAAGCTCTGCCTTCCAACAATCCTTAAAGGGAAAGGCTCCTTTTTTCCTTCCAACACTTTTTTTTGCCGCCTCTCCTCTCCCAGCATTCTCCCTTTAAAGTTCCGCCATTTGAAGGAACTGGGAATCAGCAGCCGCGGTTTCATCCTTGCTGTTTCTCTTTGAAGATTTGGAAATAAAGAAATATCAGCCTATTTTGCAGCCATGCGTCCAAACCGGATCAGTTTGTTAGTAACCTTGTTGTGCTGTTTCAGATAGTGAATTAGTTACCTTAAGAATTAAGAGCTGTCTCCTTAAGAGATTGCATTGTGGGAGATGTAGAGAGAGATTGCATTATGGGAAATGTAATCCATGACATGTGACCCACGGCTGTGTCTGATTGGTCACTGAGGCGCTCTGCCTGGGTTGTAGTACAAAGCCTGGCCATTATGAATTGCCACGGGAGGAGAGAAGGGTCCTTTCTGAATAGGGGGACAGATCTACCATCATTTTACACTAGGAAATGGGACAGATTATGGAATATAAGGATGAATCTCACTGTGACTCACATGATCGTAAATCTATGGTTTCTGAAGAATACCCAAATAAATGATCTGTATGAAAACCTGTTTGCTATAGTTTAACTATGTAGGCTGGTGACCCCCAGGGGGAGAGCCTTCTCTGTGGGGGCACCTACCCTCTGGAATCAGTTGCCCCCAGAGATAAGGAGAATCCAAGACCTCAGTGCCTTCCGCCGTGCCCTTAAAACCCACTTTTTCCAGCAAGCCGGGCTGGCTTAAGAAGAAATTTTTAAAAGTTTTAAATTGGTTTGTGATTTTTAATTTTTGGGCCAAATTTATATATATTTTAATGTTTTTTAATATTTGTATTTCATGTTCTTAATTCTGGCTGTACACCGCCCTGAGTCCTCAGGGAGAAGGGCGGTATATAAATTGGAAATAAAATAAAATAAATAAAATAAACTGCCTGTTCCCAGTGAAGCCAGATGCCTGGGGAACAGAACACTTGTCATTTTGCGTGCGTGTGTGTGTGTTGTTGGGGGGGGGGGCGCACAGAATGTTCCCTTTCATCTTCCCTCCTCCCTCAAAAATATAAAATGGGAAATGGTGACAAATGGAGTACCAAAAGTTCTTTAATCGAGGCTGAGGGAAGGGAGTCGTTTTAGGCAAGTCCTCCTTTTCTATATTGTCAGTTTAGCTCCTGTGCAACAGACAACGCCATAGAGGTCCATAGAGGTTTAGCCCTGACCATCAAATGCGGAAAGAATGATAAATGGATTTAGCAACACAAAAGTACAAAAACAGCCATAAAATAATTAAAGCTGATTTGTTGAAATGAGAGGGGGGGGGGGAATACTTAGTGCAATTCATTAATAGACTTGAAAAAAATCAGAGCTTGTCAATCAGAAAGGTCGGGGGTTCCAATCCCTAGTACAGGTCTCCTGCATGACCAGGGGGTTGGACTTGATGACCTCCAAGGTCCCAACTCTGTTACTAACCTTACTGGGAAAGGAACTTGAGAGGCGGGGGGGGGGTGAATGTAGGGGAGAGACCCAGGCAGGACACGCCTCCCCCCCTCTCTCTTTCAGCTGCCTCCCCCCACCCCCAGGTGGCAACTCCTTCCAGAAACTCACTGCACCGGCCCCCCGCGCAGCCCAAAGGACCAAGAGGGGCATCCGATGCAGCAGTATTGCCCTTTGATGGCGCTAGTGTCCCTCCCTCTCTGTTAAGTACCAGGCGCTTTAGGCTCTCCTCCCCCTGGGAAATCGTCTGCCCCCCCCCCCGAAGAAGAAAGAAAAACGACGGCCTGCAGAAGGCGGGGAGGAAGCAGGGGTCTCCCAGGAGGGGGAGCGCCTGCCCTGCGCTGGGTCTTTCTCTCCCCCATTCCCCTTCCATCCCTCGCTCTTTTCCCTAAAGGAAACGTCTTCCTTCCCTCGCGCTTCACCCGGAGCCTCGTCTGACACTTTAGTAATCCCTTCCCATTTGTATTTCTAGCAGAGTAAAACGTGAAAGTAACAACAGAAGCTTTCGAATTACAGTGTTTCGGAAGGTGGTCTGTCCGGAAAGCAGTCAGGGATCCAACTCGATTGCAAATATAGGGTCTTCAAGCAGTGGTGAAATCCAATTTTTTTTACTACTGGTTCTGGGGGCGTGGCTTGGTGGGCGTGGCAGGGGAAGGATACTGCAAAATATCCATTCCCTCCCCACTCCGGGGGAAGGATACTACAAAATCTCCATTCCCTCCCCACTCCAGGGGAAGGATACTGCAAAATCCCCATTCCCACCCCACTCCTGGGGGAAGGATACTGCAAAATCTCCATTCCCACCCCACTCCTGGGGGAAGGATATTGCAAAATCTCCATTCTTACCCCCACTCCAGGGGTAGGATACTGCAAAATCCCCATTCCCTCCCTACTCCTGGGGGGAAGGATATTGCAAAATCTCCATTCCCTCCCCACTCCTGGGGGAAGGATACTGCAAAATCTCCATCCCCACTCCACTCCTGGGGGAAGGATACTGCAAAATCTCCATTCCCACCCCACTCCTGGGGGAAGGATACTGCAAAATCTCCATTCCCACTCCACTCCTGGGGGAAGGATACTGCAAAATCCCCATTCCCACCCCACTCCTGGGGGAAGGATACTGCAAAATCTCCATTCCCACCCCACTCCTGGGGGAAGGATATTGCAAAATCTCCATTCTTAACCCCACTCCAGGGGTAGGATACTGCAAAATCCCCATTCCCTCCCCACTCCTGGGGGAAGGATACTGCAAAATCTCCATCCCCACTCCACTCCTGGGGGAAGGATACTGCAAAATCTCCATTCCCACCCCACTCCTGGGGAAGGATACTGCAAAATCTCCATTCCCACTCCACTCCTGGGGGAAGGATACTGCAAAATCTCCATTCCCACTCCACTCCAGGGTAAAGATATTGCAAAATCTCCATTCCCACCCCACTCCAGGGGAAGGATACTTTTTTTTTTTTTTTTTTTATTGCAAAAGTTTTACAATTACATTTTCACCCCTTTTTTTCACCCCCCCACCTCCCTCCCCAAACTTCCCGTCCTCCCTAACCCTCCCTAACCCTCCCCCCCCCAGACTTCCCTATTATGTACTCATAACTAATAACACTGATATATATACCTGAACCCATCCCTCCCCCTACATAATTTTCCCTCTTTGTCTCTTTATATTAAAATATTTCTAATACATTGTTTTCAAATAAAAGCTATTTGATACTTTCTAATTTGGTATTTGTTCTGAACATATTCTATCCACCTTTTCCATTCCCATTCATAAGTCTCTTGTGAACAATCTTTTAAATATGCTGAAATCTTCGCCATCTCTGCAAAACTGGCCATCTTCGAAGTCCATTCCTCGATAGTAGGCAAAGCTTCATTCTTCCAATATTTACCTATCAACAGTCTTGCTGCTGTTATCATATACAATATTAATTTTGTTTCATCCCGTGTAAAACCCTTAACTATGCCCAATAAAAACAATTGTGGAGAAAATTGAATTTTTTTCTTCAAAACATTCTGCATGACCCACCATATTTTTATCCAAAAAGCCTTAACTTTCCTACAGGTCCACCAAACATGATAATACGTAGCATCCAAACATTCACATCTCCAACATTTTGGCTGAACATTAGGGTACATACATGACAACTTTTTAGGATCTAGATGCCATCTATAAAACATTTTATAGAAATTTTCCCTCAAATTCTGCGACTGTGTAAATTTAACATTCTGAACCCAAATTTTTTCCCATGTTTCCAACATCACTGGTTCTTCAAAATTTTGTGCCCACTTAATCATACAATCTTTAACTAATTCCGTTTCTGAATCCCTTTCTAGCAAAACATTGTAAAGCCTTTTAATATGCATTGGACCTTTCTCTCTTATATGTCTAACCAATTCTTCCTCATGCAACATAATACCAGTTTTTTGGTCCTCTTTCCATCTCAGTTGTAATTGATTATATTGTAACCAGGTTAAATTAATCCCTTCGTCCAACAGTGTCTGCAATGTCTTCAACTGCCATCTGCCCGCATCTGTAAAAAGAACCTCTTTGTATAAAAACCCCCCGAGTGACATTATATTTGTATTCCACAAGGTATGACCAAGATCCAGCCATAGCGGTATTTTATAATCCCATTTGAGTCGGTGCTTCTTCCAAACTCTCATCAAAGAGTCTCTAAGTATATGACTTTTAAATACTTTATCAACTTTGTCATCATAAAATAGGTAAGCATGCCATCCAAATTCAAGATCAAAACTTTCTGCATTCAATATTCCAGCCTTTTTACTTCCAAACCAATCACTTGTTAAAGTTAAAGCTGCTGCATCATAATATAACTGTAGGTTTGGAAGTTTAAGGCCTCCTCTTTCTGGAACATCTTGCATAATTTTCAATTTCACTCTCGGCTTTTTCTCGTTCCAGACAAACTTATTAAGTCCAGTTTGCCAAACTTTCAGTTGTTTATCACTTTTAAGCACCGGAATCATTTGAAACAAAAACAGAAATCTTGGCAAAATGTTCATCTTAACTGCTGCTATTCTTCCAAGTAAAGACAGTTGCAGCTTTTTCCAAGTCTCCATGTCTTTCTGAGCCTCTCGCCACAACACCTCATAGTTATTTTGAAACAATTTCATGTTTGATTCTGCAACCTGAACTCCAAGATATTTTACCTTAGGTACAATTTCAAAACCTGCCCTCCTTTCAAACTCATATTTACGATCTTGTGTCATATTTTTGACTATCATTTTAGTCTTTTTTGAGTTCACTCTGAAACCTGAAACTCTACCATAGTCTTGTATAATGTCGTTCATCAAGATTATTGATTCCATTGGTTGTGATAGGGTAACCACCAGATCATCTGCAAATGCCTTTACTCTATACTCCTCTTGCCTTATCATTATACCTTTCAAAATTTTTGAGTCCCGTATTGTATTTAGCAAGACTTCCAATGTTAAAATAAATAAAAGTGGGGACAACGGACATCCCTGTCTTGTTCCTTTTTCAATTTTAAACTCTGTCGTCAAACTTCCATTAATAATAATCTGTGCTTTTTGCTCTTGATAAATTGCTGAAATTGCCTGTGTAAACTGGTCCCCAAAGCCCATCTTTTTTAAAGTCTTTAGTAGAAAATTCCAATCCACTCTATCAAAGGCCTTCTCCGCATCCAAAAAGACCAGCACTGCAGAAATCTGTTTATTCTTATCAAGATATTCCAATAAGTCTATTACTTGCCTTACATTGTCCTTCATGTATCTACCCTCAATAAATCCCGCTTGGTCCTCATGAATCACCTTTTGGATTACTGGCATCAACCTGTTGGCTAATACCTTCGCGTAAATTTTATAGTCTGTATTCAAAAGAGATATTGGTCTGTAGTTCTCTGGTTTTTTAGGACCAACTTATTCTTTTGGTATCAAAGATATATAAGCAGTTGTCCAGGATGGGGGTATTTTACCCCCTTGTTGAATATTGCAAAATAAATCTCTAAGTTGTCCCACCATTTCAGCTTGTAAAGTTTTATAGTACACTGCAGTCAAACCATCCGTGCCAGGAGCTTTGGCTGTTTTTAGCTGTTTAATTGCTGCTGTTATCTCCTCCTCTGTTATAGGATAATTCATTCTTTCCTTTTGTTGATCAGTAATTTTTGTAACTCTCTTATCCTTTAAATATTTTTCTATAAGTCCATTCTGCACCTCATCTTTGGCATATAGTTTAGTGTAATAATCCACAAAAGCTTCTTTAATTAGTTTTTGTTGAAAGATTTCTTTCCCTCCAATATCAATACTATCAATAGTCCGTATACTTTGTTTTTTCCTCAATGTGTAAGCCAACCATCTACCCGGTTTATTAGCATTGCAAAATGTATTATGCTTCGCGTATTGTAAACTTGTTGCAACTTGTTCCGCCATAAGCATTTGGAATTGGTCTTTCAAAAGTTTTATAGCACTTCGTATTCTTTCATCTGTTGGGTTTTTAATAAGTAACTGTTCTTTATTCTTTATTTCCATTTCCAACTCAGATCTTTTCTTTTGTCGGAACAGTCTATGTTTAGAATTCATGTAGATAAGTACCCCTCTCATATAAGCTTTACTTGCATCCCAAACAATTTCAACTGGGGTACCTTTATTCAAATTTATTTCAAAAAATTCTTTCAAATGCTTTTTAAGTTCTATTATATTTTTTTCATATCTAAACAGGTTCTCATTTAATCTCCAAGAACGTCTCTCAACCTTATCCATCTCGATTTCTATCCATACAGGACTATGATCAGTCAAAATTCTTGGAAAAATCTTTGTTCTTTTTGTCTTAACAAGTAGATCATTTGACAACAAGATAAAATCAATCCTAGAAAAAGATCTATGTCTATCAGAAAAAAAAGTGTAATCCAATTCATTTGGGTTATGTATTCTCCAAACATCTTTTAGTTCCATATCTTCTTTCATATCAAAAAAGGTCTGTGGTAATCTAATTCTAGACTTTGCCAAGCTCTTTTTATCTAATTTAGAATCAATTACTCCATTCCAATCTCCCATAATTAAAATAGATCTGTAGTCCCATTGCAATATTTTAGTATGTAACATCTTGTAAAAATAATCCTGTTGTTGGTTGGGAGCATAAATTCCAATCAAAAGAATTTGTCCATTTGCTGTAAACAATTCAATTGCTACAAATCTACCATCTTGATCTACTTCTATAACTTTTGCTGTTAATTTTTTATTTACATAAATAACCACACCATTCTTTTTCTGCGAAGTTGAAGATATATAATGTGCTCCTAGTTTTGAGTTTATCAAATATTTTTGATCTTGAGTTGTAATGTGCGTTTCTTGTAAACATATTATATCATTATTAAATTGTTTCAAATATGTAAATAATTTTTTCCTTTTCTGTGCTGAATTCAACCCATTGACATTCCAAGATAAACACTTAAAGGTCATTAACCTCTTCATGGAGCGCGGAGCAATATGCTTGAAGTTCATCCACAAGCTTCGATCTCGCTCCTCCCATAGCGCCAATCTCTTGTGCAGTGCTCTTAACTGCCTTCTTGTCTTGTCTTTCCTGTTGTTGTTGTTGCTTCTGTTTAAGTAGCTTGGATTGAGCTCTAGTTATACGTTGATCTTTAACTTCAGTCAACTGAATCAAATCCAAAATTGGAGAAGAATCCAGCGATGGCTCACTCAGAATACCTCCTTCTGCACCTTGCACGTTTTCTAATTCCTGCTTAGACTGTTCTTTCAATTGCCTCTCTTCACTCTCCTTAATCTCCAGAACTGTAGATGTACGTGGAGATGGTGTTCTTTCCATAAGAATAGTACTGTAAAAGTGTTGCGCCTTCTCCACGGTATTCAACCGATATCCTTCTCCCTTATATCTGAAAATTACCCCAGCTGGTGCATCCCACCGGAAGGGTATCTGTAAATTTTTCAATTCCTTAACAAGAAAACCAAATTCTTTTCTAGCTTTCAGCATTTTAGGAGGTAACTCTTTAAAAATTACAAGCCGTGAGCCCCCCACTTGTATAGAGGTGTGGAAAGATTTTTGCAGGATATCATTTCTAATTTCTCTCTCAGTAAAGTATATGACCACATCTCTGGGTAATTGTCTTTGCCTGGCCACCCAAGAGTTCACTCTGTAAATTTTATCTATTTTATGAAATACCAAATCAGGATTAACTTGTAGAATCTTAGCCAGGGCTTCAGAGCAAACTTGTCTCAAGTCCTGTCTTTCCTCCTCTCGAATTCCCCGAAGCCGTATGGCAAATTCCATCGCCCGGAATTGTATCATAACAATCTCATCTTCAATTCTCTGCATTTTATTGTCAACTTCATCAATTTTATAATCATTGTCTTTCATCCTAACATTAACTTCTGATTTAAATTCTTCAACTTTAAAATCAACTTTCCCAATAAAATCTGCCAGGCCAGACGCCACTTCTGATATTTTTTTGGTCACCATAATTTGATTCTGTTTCACCATGTCTTTAATTTCATTAATTTCCTGCAAAAATTCCTGATGTGATTTTTGAAGTTCCTGTTGTGATTCTTGAAATTTATCATCCAAAGTTTTAGAAATAAATTCTTTTAAATCTGCCACATCAAATTCTTTTTTCTGAGTTTGTAACTGTTGAGCAGGGGGAAGTTGCGTTTGCTGTTTGTGTGTGGGGGATCCCCCCCCTAATGCCTTCCCTTCCTGCTTCTTTGAAGCCATCCTGGCTCGTGATCTAGTTTTTCTAAAGAGGGAGGTTCCTTTTCCTTTCCCTCCTGCACAAAGACTTCTAAAAAAGTCCCCCAGATTTGATCAAACAAGGGTTAAAATAAAGCAAAGTCCAATATTGAAAAGGGAAAAAATTTCCGAGTTATTTCTCTTGTAACAAGCAAGGCAGCTTAGTAGCAACTTGGAAACTTTGTAACAAAACAAAGTAACTTCACCAATCCACACTCGCTGGCTCGTTAACTCTGAAGCTAGGCGCCATGTTTTTTCAAAGCACTTTCACTCACTCGCATTTTCTCAGATTGAAAAGTCAACAAAGTGCTAATACTTGCGTTTCCAAATTTCAGGATTCAGGTAGTTTCGCTGTTTATTAAAGCTGGTTCTTTCGCTTTAAGTTTCCTGCAGCCGGCTTGTTCTGCAGAAGCAGAATCGTCCCACGCCGCCCGGAGTCTCAGCAGGTTGGAAGGGAGCCGCGCCTGTTTCCTCCCCAGAAACAATTCCCTGGGGGGTTACAGGGGCTCGACCTGTGCCCTGCTATCTCTCCTCCAATAATCCTCAGGATTTTGAAGTTTTCGAGCCGCTTCTCGATCGCGAAGCGGCTCTACAGGCGGCGGGGCTGGCGGAGCTTCAAAGAGCGCCGCCGTCGCCGAAGACAAGGAAACCGGAAGTCGGGCAACTCCTCGGGAAGGATACTTTTTGATGTTAGGTGTCCATTTTAGGTCTTGAGATATGGTAGAACGTAGAAATTTGAAGGTCTCTACTGTTGATACCGTGTTGTCGAGTATTGTGAGAGGTGGGAGTATGGGAATGGGAATACAAATGGGAATTCATTACAAAGGAAACGCCAAAAGTTCCTAAACGAGGGGCAGCGAAGCCTCGTGAGGGAAAATTTCTTGGAGGGGGAAAGCACAGGACATGACCTCCCTCCCCTTCTGCTTCCTCCCCTCCAGGTGGCTAATCCTCCCAGGAACTCACTGCAGCAGCCCCCCCCCAGGCCCCCAGCACCCTCCCAGTAGCAAGAGTGGCGCCAGTTGCAGCCGCATTGCCCTCCAGCCATTTGGCCTTTTACATCTGCAACCGAAAACACCAGATCGGTTTCCTCTACCCGTTCTGTGGGCATGGCTTGTTGGGGGGGGAGGTCATGTGAGTGGGTGGGCGTGGCCAACTCACCATCACTCACATCGAGGGGCTCCTCACTGGCCCCTCCCCTCCCAGCCACTCCTTGTCACGAATGGCAGGAAAATGGGGAGGGGAATATTTCTGCCTACCATCCTTCCCTCAGTCCGTGCTGAGATTGAGGAATGGATGACAGACAGGAAAATCCCCTTCCCCATTTTCCTGCCTTTCACAAAAACGACTCTATTCCAGCTGCTCCCCCCCTCCCTCCTGGTGTTGTGGAATGATGGGACCAAACAACTTCCCTTGGTCAGCCAGAGTCAGTTTATTGCGCAGTTTCAGAACCAGATTTGTATCTGCAATTCTGAACAAAGGAAGAGTTCTGATACAACTGCTTTTGTACATATCCAAGGCAAAGGACTTTGCTGGCACAGCAGTTTTCCATATATGGTTAACATACATCCGTTACATGATAATTGACACTTTTTAATTACTAAATTCCTGCCTTAATTTATAGTACACAAGATAATTTTAGCTAAACATCTGTTGGAAGAAACATCCTTCTAGGTTCTGCTCCAAGTGGGGAAAACAGACACTGGAAACATGGAGACTGCTTGGAAAGATGGTTTAATGGTGGACAGGATCACATGGCTTGAGTTCCTGAACAGAAAAGGGGCAGATACAGTAAATCCTCCGGTTTTTATGCTCTCTCTGGCTCTGCATTTCTTGGGGCCCCAAGAGAGTATCCTGATTGGTTGTCAGACTCCCAGGGGGTGGGGGTCTTGCTGGCTGATGCAATCTTCCCAGGTGCCATGTGGTGAGCCTCGTCTAGATGGGTCCCATTGTGTTAGTTTCTGTTGCTATTGTGTTGCAAATGTCCTTTGACAAGGATTGGGTTTCTGCCTCTGTCCCATTAACAAAGGGTGGGGGGCAGGAAGGTGGGAGCTGCTTCTCCCAGGGAACATGCTTCTCCCAGGGAAATATAATATTCTGCCTTTTTCATATTTCCTAAAATATTTCACTCTTCCAGGAGAGGGGTGGGTGCTAACTTCCTACAATCCCTACTCTTTTTTTTTTCAAAACGTGAGTTTTGAAACAAGTTCTTGGCAAAAGATTAAAATTGATCACATCAGGGAGGCTTAATGGGTGCTTTTAATTTTCTAATGCAAAGGGGAGGCATTGATAGAGGCAACAGAAAAGGATTCCTTCAGTGGCTTCCAAAAGCTTTCAACCATGAAGGTCTAGCAGCCAGGAAAAAATTTCTGGTAAGAATTTTACAGTATCCAATTTTCCATGCCAATTAATTTCAGACTTCAGATATTACTTTCTGTGAGCTTCCAGTCAGGTTTCAAGCAAGCACATGTCCCAAAATTTTTCACAGCCATAGTTTTCCTTTAAATTACAGGCTGCCCATTTCATGGGTTGGTTACTGAACCTGCCCTAGCTCTTACTTTATTGCATCCAGGATTTGTGAGTCCAAATTGAGGTTAGCCAGTGTACAATATCTATTCTTTTTTTTTTTTTTTGGTGTTACACATAATGAGCCCTGGGATTTCTACTCATGAGACCACCAGTGCAATATATCTTCCTTTACTGGGCAACTGGGCAGCATCATTTGTAAGTCACAGTCAGGGCTTGGGTTTTGGAGATCACTTTTCTGCTATCTCTTCAAGTGAGGGAATTGCCTGAGGGGGATTGCTTCCTTCCCCATGGAATTAGCAGGGAGATATGACTACTTGGGCTTTTAGTGCTACAGAGCAAAAATCAACCTAGGAGAAGCTTTGTGTGGAGGTAAGGGAAGGGAATAGTTTCAATCTAATTCTGAATAGTGTGTGTCTCTCTGTGTGTGCATGTGTATGCAGCTACTTTTACAATACAGGCAATACAAACATTTTGGACATATTTCTCCTCTCCACCAGACAGAAATCTAGAGTGTACATAACTTGCTGTGGCAATCACTCCCAAATACAATTCTTACAATAAACTGATTACAATATAAATGAGACAAGAAAGAAAACCTTACAATGAATTTCCACCCTCCCCCATAGTCTTTCCAGCTGTCTTCTGAGGATTGAAAAGAGTCTTTTGGTGTTGTACATCTCAGGGTCTTTTCTTTCATGTCTGCTGGGTAGCATGCTTGGTGGTAAGGCTGGTCAGTCAGGCTTGGGAAGAACTGCTCCACTCTGGTTGCTGTGATGACTTTCAGTGGAGGCTGGATTCAAATCCAATTCCTGGTTCAATCAAATGGAAGGTCTCCTCTGGAGGCAGCATCTGGATCCATGTGCTCTGCTTCCACAGGTTGCAGAGTCCTTTGTGCAGGGCTGAAAGACATTAGAACAGGGTCCCCTCCCCCTTTTTGTGGGTAATCTTCCCAGGAAAGCCATTGTAACAGGATTACAGATGGGGGGGGGTAGATAGCTTGCAGGCAGAGTTTGAAAAGAAACAACACAACAGTATTGCAGTTACTAAACAGATAATGCAGTTTCAACAAAATGGAAACACAACAGATAAGAAAAAAAACTGGATTCACATGCTTCAGGAAAGAGATGAACAGGTAAACCCATTTAAACACATACAGTAAATGCAAGACTGATTTTTTTTTCTTGTAAATGAACTTAAAACGTTTCCTCATAAACTTGAGTTGTTACTTTAAGATACAGAGAGGGAAGGAGAGAAAAAAACCAGAAATAAAATGTCTCCTTACTCTGTCTTTGTTGGCCAGACAAACACAGGGCAAAGGCTCTTTCTTTCTTTTTTTTCTCTCTCTCCCCCATTTTCATTGTTTCAACCTTTTTTTCCCCCTTTTCTAACAATTTAAAATTCTTGTCTCTAGAGATCAGATACATTTTACAGTTACAATTACCTCGAGGGCGCACAAAGACTTAGACACACACACATGAAGAGAAGAAGGACAAAGAGAAGAAAGCAGAACTCTGAGATTTCACACATACTGATCATTCCCATGTCAATCTCAGTTAAATTAGGGAAGGCACAAATCTTAAACATACCACGTGGTTGCATAGAAGACAGAGACAAACAAACAAACAAACAAAACAAACAAAACCCCCAACATTCCTATTTATATATTTCCCTTTTCTTTTAAGTACCTTTATTTAGCCAAATTTGTCTCCCGGTGTTATCTCTTAGCAAAGCCCATTTTTGACACAATTTTCCTAATTTCCTTTTATCCATGCCCCTCAATATGGGCACCCGCCTGGCGTCCCAGGCCGCGAGCACTTCATCTACTGGGGTCCCCGCCACCCGCGAACTATCGCTACCCATGACCCTTTCCTTTTCTCCGGAAGGATCACTTCGACTTAGCCGGGTGGCACGCTCTCAGTTTTCAGAGGAAAAAGCTCTGGGAAGGACTTCGATTCCCTTGCGAAGTATGGGCCCCTTCCTCTAGGGAATCACCACAACTTTTCGGATCCAAAAAGGGGATCCACGAGGACCTGCTGACCCCTGCAGCCAGGTGTGGGCACCTCCTCTTTCACAAACACATGCTCGCCCCGTGTCTGGGCTGGACAAAACCGGGTTTCCCTTTCACAATTTTATTACCCCCCTCTTCACACGCTTCTGTTCGCTCGGCTTCCATTCCTTTTAAACACAAAGTTCCACGTTTGGCAACCCCCCCTTGCTTTCTCTATCCTACCGGTCATGGCTCGGTGGAGCTAGCAGTAGGCAGAGGGGCGGCTAGAGGTCACTCAAAGAGGTGAAATCTGACTGTTTTCCAGGTGGAATCCCACACACACACTTCCTTCTTTCCTAACAGAAGGTCCTGTGCTCTGGCAAAACCCCCATGCTCTCCAGACTGTTAGTCTTTCTGCGGCTAGGAAATGCACAGAGGAAGCAAGATCCAGCTGTACTTGGGAGAAGGGCCTTCACTCACACACATGCAGGCATACACAAATTTCCCATGCTTTTCCATACTTCAAAATTAAAATTTAGAGGTACTCACCTTCTTTCCAAGCAGCCTTTGAGCTCAAACTCAAAACCCCTTTAAAACCTAGTTCCAAATGGCCAAGGTCCACAAAAACCTACCCACAGACTCAATGGGTCTGCTGCTAGCAAGGGAGGCTTACCTGGGCCTGGTCCATTGGTTAGGTTAGCTTGGAGTCCCACTGGCTCGCCAATTGTTGGAAGAAACATCCTTCTAGGTTCTGCTCCAAGTGGGGAAAACAGACACTGGAAACATGGAGACTGCTTGGAAAGATGGTTTAATGGTGGACAGGATCACATGGCTTGAGTTCCTGAACAGAAAAAGGGGGCAGATACAGTAAATCCTCCGGTTTTTATGCTCTCTCTGGCTCTGCATTTCTTGGGGCCCCAAGAGAGTATCCTGATTGGTTGTCAGACTCCCAGGGGGTGGGGGTCTTGCTGGCTGATGCAATCTTCCCAGGTGCCATGTGGTGAGCCTCGTCTAGATGGGTCCCATTGTGTTAGTTTCTGTTGCTATTGTGTTGCAAATGTCCTTTGACAAAGGATTGGGTTTCTGCCTCTGTCCCATTAACAAAGGGTGGGGGGCAGGAAGGTGGGAGCTGCTTCTCCCAGGGAACATGCTTCTCCCAGGGAAATATAATATTCTGCCTTTTTCATATTTCCTAAAATATTTCACTCTTCCAGGAGAGGGGTGGGTGCTAACTTCCTACACATCCTCCTTAGTTCTGTATCCGCTGATGCGTAGATTCATGGCTGGCCTTGGATTAATAAATTAAGTTTTTGTTTTAGATGGATGTCTCTGCATCCTTGACAGATAGGCCCCTCAGAAGATATGCTGCCAAGAATGGAATTTAGCTGACAGTGTAATCTCTTGTTGGAAGAAACATCCTTCTAGGTTCTGCTCCAAGTGGGGAAAACAGACACTGGAAACATGGAGACTGCTTGGAAAGATGGTTTAATGGTGGACAGGATCACATGGCTTGAGTTCCTGAACAGAAAAGGGGCAGATACAGTAAATCCTCCGGTTTTTATGCTCTCTCTGGCTCTGCATTTCTTGGGGCCCCAAGAGAGTATCCTGATTGGTTGTCAGACTCCCAGGGGGTGGGGGTCTTGCTGGCTGATGCAATCTTCCCAGGTGCCATGTGGTGAGCCTCGGCTAGATGGGTCCCATTGTGTTAGTTTCTGTTGCTATTGTGTTGCAAATGTCCTTTGACAAAGGATTGGGTTTCTGCCTCTGTCCCATTAACAAAGGGTGGGGGGCAGGAAGGTGGGAGCTGCTTCTCCCAGGGAAATATAATATTCTGCCTTTTTCATATTTCCTAAACTATTTCACTCTTCCAGGAAAGGGGTGGGTGCAAACTTCCTACACTCTGAACAAGCACATTTCTTTCTTTATAATAATGTGAATAAAGAGGATCCTCCAGTGTTCATATAGCTGACCTTATACCATTCACATTATTCACATTATTCTATTATTCACATTATTCACTTTACTGGGGACTACCTTAAAAGGGACAGGTTGCAGCAGCTCTAAAGTAGGACGTAAAGTGAGATTTGGATACAAGAGTGAAATGATACGGGGTTGGCTTGGATGATCTCTAAAGGTCCCTCGAGCTAGTTATTGTAAGAGACAGTTTCTGAGTTCAAAAAGTCAAACCGCAGAGTTAGCTAACTTTCTTACTTCCATGTCAAAATGCAGAACTAAAAACCACATGGGACAGCATGGACACCTGTGTCTCAGGCACAAGATATCATCAGCTTTTCTGCCCAGCAATAAGGGGCTTAGCCAATAGGAATGATTTCACATATTTCCGTGTTTTTGCTGCTTTTGAAGACTATGAGAATGCGTGTCTTAATCAGAACGTTGTTCAGATGTTAGATGGTTTATCTTTTCTGTCTGAACCTTTGGCCAAATAAAGCTTCTTGTGAACTCGAAGTCTAAGCCCTTTGATTTTCTGCAACATTTCCCTTGTGAATGGAGGGAGAAAAGTTACCATTCTCTCTGCTGCATTTAACCATTGAATTCTGTGGCAGAGAGAATGCTAACTTTTCTCCCTCTATTCCCAACGGAGCTGCTGCTTCCTTTATGGTTCCCTCCCGGCTCCCTCCCTCCTGGGGACTACCTCAAAGGGACAGGCGGCAGCAGCTCCATTCTCAATGGGGGGGGGGAGAAAAGTTAGCATTCTCTCTGCTGCATTTAATATTGAATTCTATGGAATATCCAGTGGCTGGAAGAGGTGAGCACCTGGGCATGAGTGAGGCCAAGGAGGGGTAATTACAACCAGTTCGGCGAACTGATGCCCATAATACCGGTCCGAACCAGTAGGATTTCACCCCTGCACCGCATCCTCCGAGCGTTAAGTGCCAGCCCTTCTCCACAGGTTCAGGGTCCCCTCAGCGAGTCTTGCAATGGGGGAGGGGGAAAGCGGGGAGGGAAGGGAGAGAGGCGCTGTCCCTGGCTGGGCCTCGGAAATGCCTCCTTCGCAAGAAAATGCCTTTCTTTCCTCCCTCTTTAAGGAGTTTCAGGGTTTTCTCATATTTCTGAGCCAAGAGTGAAAGTGAAAGGAGACTGTTCAAAATTCTAACCACCACCTCCTCCCCCTCCCCCTCCCCCCCTCACGACCAGCCCTTTCCAGTTAACGGCTGAGCTTCCCTCCAGTCCCATCCTCCCAAACTGGGAAAGTCTCCAGCCGAGGTCTTTGAAGGAGGGAGGGGGGCGTCTTCTGGCTGCGATCCAGCTTCCACAGCTGTGAAGTCAAATCTTTTCACAATCGCCTGAAAGGAAGAGCTGGAGCTGCAGATCCTCCCTTCCCCCAATTCTGCCCTTCACCCTCTTCCCTTTCCAGGCTTCTCCTGGCTCTTCCTGTCTATTTGGACGGGGAGATGTCAGAACTCAGCTGGGGCTGTGCCTCCACCTCACCATGCTCTGAACTGGACCCAGAAGCAGCCTGAACAAGCAGTGTGACTCTCAGAGCAGAGGTATAAAGTCTGTTCTTTTGGAAACTCACGTCACTGCCTGTGCCACTTCATTTTGTAGGAAGTTAGCACCCACCCCTTTCCTAGAAGAATGAAATATTTTAGGAAATATTAAAAAGGCAGAATATTATGTTCCCCTGGTTGAGAAATGGAGAAACATGTTTTAAAGACAAAGCAACTCCCACCTTCCTGCCTCCCCCCCCCAACCCCCCTTTGTTAATGGGCCAGAGGCAGAAACTCAATCTTTGACAATAGGACCCATCTGCAACACAATAGCAACAGCAACTCACCACATGGCACCTGGGAAGATTACATCTATCAGCAAGGCTAGCTAAGACCCCCACCCCCTGGGAGTCTGACAACCAATCAGGATGCTCTTTTGGGGCCCCAGGAAGTTCAAAGCCAGAGAAAGCATAAAACCCCGGGATTCGCTCTGTCTTGGCCCCTTTTTCTGTTCAGGAACTCAAACCATGTGATCCTGTCCACCATTAAACCATCTTTCCAAGCAGTCTCCATATTTCCAGTGTCTTTTTCCCCACTTGGAGGTGAACCCAGAAGGATATTTCTTCCAACAATTTTGCACCAGCTAAAGCTTCTGGAAACTCTTTTTTTTTTTTTTTTAATTTGATTTATATGCCGCCCTTCTCTGGAGACTCAGGGTGGCTTACAGTGCGTTAAGCAATAGCCTTCATCCTTTTGTATATTTTATACAAAGTCAGCTTATTGCCCCCACAAACTGGGTCCTCAATTTACCTACCTTAGAAAGGATGGAAGGCTGAATCAACCTTGAGCCTGGCGGGATTCGATCTTACTTTAATTGCAGACAGCTGGTGTTAAATTACAGTGCTTCTGTCTGTTGAGCTAAACCAGGCTTCTTCAAGGGCAGCCCCATATAGAGTCTATTACAGAGGTCCTACCGGGAGGTGACTAGAACATCACTGATTCTGAACAGAGCCCCTCAATCGAGGAACGGGTGCAAATAACCTACAAGACAAAATTCAACAAAAGTTGTTACAGGGGAAGACACACATATGATTCCTTAACACCGGTGGTATGTTTTGGCCTCTGAGCTCATGCCCAGACCCTGGACAGTGGACCTTGAGAGACCCAGGCCTTTGGCTGCTGCCGCCGAACACTCGGTTGGTCAACAACAACAAGGAATTTGTTAAGTCCTAAATCTTAATTCTTGGCTGGGACAAAGAGAGATCGAACCTAGAATTAAGGAGAAATTTCCTGTCAGTGAGAACAATGAGTTGCCTCCAGAAACTGTGGGTGTCCATCACTGGAGGTTTTTAAGGTTTTAAAGAGGAGATTGGACAACCATTTATCTGGAATGGCATGGGGTCTCCTGCTTGAGCAGGGGGTTGGACTAGATGACCTCCAACACACATTCCAACTCCGTTATTCTGAATTCTCTTCTGCTGCTTGCTCCTGAGTCACACCCACTTCCGCGAGGGGGACAATAAAGGGCAGGAATCCCTGAGGCTGAGTGGGTGAAGTGAATGCCAGACCCAGCCTGCATTGCAAATGAGTCAGATTTGGAAGGCAGAGCTCATTGACTGGAGGTGGCTGACAGATGTAAAAACCCCAAAGGCAAAACTCAATAAACCCCCCCACCTTCCTGGTGACAAACAACCAAACCAATAGCTCTGCCCACCCCCAGCCCCCAAATCAAAGCAAAACCAGGGCATTTGGAGAGAGTATCAAGGTGGAGGCCAATCTTATCTCCATGGGGATGAGGTTCCCCAGGGAAGGAACCACCAAGCAGAAGGATCTCCTCCTCGGTCCCATTAGATGGACCTCCTTAAGGGAGGGGACCCATAACGTACACTGCCTCCCCACTTTGGTCTCTCTGGTCGAGGTCACTGGGAAAGATTGCTAGGCCTCCAGTGTGGCCTTTAACTCCCATTGGGACCCTAAAAGTTCACGTTCTAGCTTAGGGAGCTGGAGAAAGAGGTGGTAGAAATTGCACGGGGCTCTATGGAACAAATACCTGGGGTGGGTTTCAAATTTTTTTTACTACCGGTTCTGTGGGCGTGGCTTGGTGGGCGTACTGTAAAGTCTCCATTCCCTCCCCAATCCAGGGGAAGGTTACTGCAAAATCCCCATTTCCTCCTGATCAGCTGGGACTTGGGAGGCAGAGACTAGATGGGGGCGGGGCCAGTCAGAATTTTTACAACCGGTTCTCCAGAACTGGTCCAAACCTGCTTAAAACCACCTCTGGGTTGGATTCTTTTTCTCCAGTTGTTGTGGGGCCTCTTTAAAATGACCCTCCCTTCCCACCCATGGTAAGTTTCCCACACCTGTTTGTTAAACTTGTTAAACTGAAATCTTCCTGCCTCAGGAAACTGATTCTCCGCACATTCTTTTGCCCAATTGTTCTATAAACAACTATTTTTAAAGATCTTTTGCCATATTTTTGTAACATAAAAGCTCAAAGGCTACTTGGGAAAAACTGGGAGTTCCTTTCCCTGGCATGCAAGCCCAACAACCACACCTGATAGGTGGAAAAGTGTAAGACTTTTATTTATAAAGAAGCGAGTTCCAAAATGGGACCCCCCCTTGCTCCACAGAGGACGCCCTTTTATACAGTTTTGGAAAGCACAACTTGCCATGAACCAGTCATACACCAATCACTAAGAGCAATATTATATATACTGTCCATCTTCTGTAATCATAGTTACGGCTAAAGTTCAAGTAAAGCTTAGGAGGTGTGGGAGACCTTGACCTGATCAATAGCTTTCCTACACTGAAATCATCCCTAAGCCACTTGGGTACCAGCATCTCGTCCATCACCTTCACGGACAGGCATCCTTCAGCAGGAAGGTCGATGGTCCAACTTTCATCTATTGCAGGTCAAAAGCAGATCAACCAGTGGATAACCTCATCAGTAGATACCAGGAATCTTGCCACTGTAATCTCTAGGTGTTAAACCAGCAATAAATATATTAATACATGAATGAAAATGGTCTATCAATACATGCATTAAAATACATTAAACTGGACTGTCCCAGGTCAACCAGTGGGTAAGCACAACCAACAGATGCAATGACCACAGTTACTGTGTTGTACTAAAGAATATTAAGCTGTTTCCCTTCTCCACTGGGCAACATAGAAACTGATAGTCTTTTGGGGCCTCTCCCCTCCATAGGTTGTGTTGTGCTACAAAGCAAGAAAATGGAGGAAGTCAGCTTTGTACGGGGAGGGCCTTTTCTCTCCTCTCCCTGGTTTTCTCTTCCCCCCACAGCAACCCCAAGCAGGCATAGGGGCAAGAGGCCAAACTGGAGAAAGGTTTGCAATCCTCATCCACAGAGGCAGCCCCTCCCTGGAGAGGACTTCTTGGGGAGGGATCCTCACTTCTCCCCTTGGAGTTCCTTTCCTGTTACCCCTCCAACTCAGCATCCTCAAGCAGCCTTTTTCCTGGATGCCCCCATATTTCTCCACCCCCCCCATCTCTTTCTCTCCCTCCCCTCCAGTCCTCCTTGCAGAGACATCCCTCATTTTCCCAGGGGGCCCAACACTTTCTTCCATTTCTCACATTCTTCCCTCAGAGCTGGTGGGCTGGAGAGGCTGAGCTGGGCTGGATGTTTCCTGCAGAGCAGCTGATCAGAGGGTCCCAGGCAGGAGGGGCTGAGCCCCAAAGGAACCCCAGGCAGCCCACCATCTCCCCATGGCTACCTTGGAACGGTTTAAGAGGGTGGAATCCTCACCCCCAACAAGCCTGATGGTCTTGGCTGTCAGCCTATTTTGCAAGCTCAGAGTTTAGTCTCTTAAATAGATTTCAACAACAGTCAGGCTCACCTCCGGTTATTTTAGGATGGAGCATCACCTACGACTGAATCCCATCTTCAGAGGAGAAGGAAGCAGTTCTAGACAAACGTGATGAGAGCAATTTGTCTCTTCCTGATGTGGTTTTTTCCTGCATCCCCACCACCAACCTGATAGATGGTAAAAAGAGAAGACAGGCAGTTTATTTCTGGGACAGCAGCTCCTTGTCTGGGCTGAAGGGGGTTTATGCTAAAGACCTCAAAAGGGGTCTGTAGGGATCGGATTGGGGCAGGTCTGACAGAACCATTTGGTTTCATTTATACTCCAAAGCCCGATTCCAACCTAACCAGATCTAAGAAAAAGCAACCCTGGCTGATTGTGGAAAGCTAAGCAGGTCTGACTGGCTTGGCACTTGCACCCGAGACTGGCAAGCAAGCAAATCTCAAGCAGGTCCAAAGGCCCATCCTGGAAGAAGGAAATGGCAAAGCAGTTCCACGCTCTTGCTGAGAATATTACACGGATGTGAATGGACAAGAAGCAGCGGATGGAAACTAACCAAGAAGAGAAGCAACCTGGAACCAAGAAGAAACTTCCTGACAGACCAATTAAGCAGTGGAATAACTTGCCTTCAGAAGTTGTGAGTGCTCCAACACTGGAGGTTTTTAAGAAGAGATTGGATAACCCTTTGTCTGAAATTATAGGGTCTCCTGCTTGAGGTTGGACTAGAAGACCTCCAAGGTCCCTTCCAATTCTGTTACTCTATTCAGCTCTGTGCCCTGCACATGATGATGCTCAACTGAGGAGACCCTTCCCACATTCACCCTCTCTTCTTTTGTCTCTTTCGCTGAGTAGGAGCAGAAGAAGCAGCCACTTCTTTTACCCCGCTGGAACTTCCTCTCTGTTGTTGTCTGTCCCCAGGTGTGATGGCAAGCAGGGACAGAGGACGTGCGGCCCCTCCCACCTTCCACCAGAACTTCCCCGCTCTTCTTCAGGGGCAGGATTATGGGCTTCCTGGCATTTCTCAGATTGTTTATGGGACTTTTCTTTGATTCCTGAGTTCTTGAAACAAATCTATTCAGGCGAAAGAGACTTTCCCCCCAGACACGAGGAAGGGGAAATCCTGAGATTTACAGGAAATGGAAAAAAATAGCTGCACAGTTGCTTCTTCTTTTCTTTCTGGGTCCTGTTTATGGGGAAGGATCTTATGGGGAACATGGATGAAACTCTCAGGGAGGCTCTCTCCCATCCACACCAGCTCAGTCAACCCAGAAAGACCCAGAGGTGGGGGGGGGGGGTGGATGTGTTTGTTTCACTTACTTATCAGGAAGAGAATCCCAGCTCCCGAGATCACGATAGCCACAATTCCCACAGGAATCCACCACCCTTTCTCTAAAGAAGGAGAAACATGGTTCCAATTAGACATGATGAGTTCCCCAAAATGGAGATGCTGAGCAATGGAAGCAACCTGCGTGGCCCCAGGAAGTGCCCCCACCTGAAGGAAGCCCCTCCCATCCAAAGCTGCAGAGGGAGGAGGGAATGGCCTTGAAGGGCAGAAGGAAGAGCCACAACCAATCATGTCATCTATCACATCAACTCATATATCACCATATCTTCATACCTTTGCTATTCAGTTACCACTTCCACTCCAGTGGTGGATTGCTTCCGGTTCGCAAGAACTGGTAGTAAAAATTTGTAGTAGTTTGGAGAACCGGTAATAAAATTGACTGTTCATGCCCCCGAACCAGTCCCTGGCCCGGTCGCCACTCATTCACCCCGCCCACCTCATCAGAGGCTTTTTTTCCCCCTTTTAAAAGCATTTTTTCTACAACCTCTTCAGCCGAAAAAATGCTTTTAAAAGTAAAAATAAAAAAGCCTCTGATGATTGCATGGCTCAGCTGTGATTGTCAGAGGTTTTTAAAGGCATTTTTTCTACAACCTCTTCAGCTGAAGAGGTTGTAGGGGAAAAAAAGCCTTTAAAAGCCTCTGGCAATCCCAGCTGAGTTACCTGATCATCAGAGGCTTTTCAAAGCATTTTTTTCTGCAACCTCTTTTTCTCTGTAGAAAAAATGCTTTTAAAAGTAAAAAAAAAAAAAAGTTGGCCATGCCCACACAGTCACATTATCCCACACACACACCAAGCCACACCCACAAAATAAGCCACGCCCACAGAACCGGTAGTAAAAAATTCACCCGTTCCACTCCCTTGAGAGAAATCACTTCTCTCCCATTACTAAAATGCAGGACTCTTTTTCCTGCTCTCCACCTGAAAACATGAGATGATGCAGCAGAAAACTCCCACCCAAAACTCCCAAAATTTCCTTCCATGCATCACAACAGCCTCTCACCTGTTTCCTCCTTCAAGGCCAAGACCAGGGGCTCCTGCAGGCCCTCGTGCTCCACATGACACTGAAAACGGTCCCTCTCCTTGGGGTCGATCTCAATGCTGAGCCAGATGTAATAGGTCCCATCCGAGTTAGGGACCACGTTCCTATGGAGGGTCTCATACTGGCAGACCTCTCCGTCCCTCGTCCAGGTGGCCCGGATCTCCTTGGGGTAGAAGCCAAAGGCCTGGCAGATGAGGACCTCCAGGCTGTCATCCACCACTCTGTGAGTCACCTTCCCCACTGGAGGCTCTGCAGGAGAGGCAACACCAGAGTAACCAGGTTTTCTAGAGTTTCTGTCAAGATGGCTTAATTGACAGGGAAGGCTTCCTTTGGCCATTCTTGCTCTCTGCTCCTCCTCCTCCTCCTCCGAGAGCCTCCAAGATGGGCCATTGAAGCTCTTTATTTTTGAAAGGGTTAAATAGAATTTGGGTAAACGTCTGAAATTGACCAACATAATTGCAATGCTTGGGGTTTGATTTACTTTTACCCCTCCCCCAAATTGAATTTCTTCAAGTTGTTCCAGACAGAAATCATGAAGAGATTCATCTTTTCCTCCTGACCCAAAAACAGGACACTCGTTTCTTCTGCTCTGCAAGATTTTCCCAAGCAAACAGAATGAGACATTCAGCATTAATTTCTTGCTCAGTTATTTAATCCTGTGAAAGGTATTTATTTTGGGGGATAGTAATGGAAGATTATTTTCCTTCTGTCATGTGATGTGGAACAGTTCCTGACCACTTTCTGCAAAGGGTTACTTGGTTATGTAGGGCAGAAACAATACGGAGAGGGGGAGCCTACAGAAACATGCTCAGTGACCCCCTTTGCCACTCACCTGTCCTCTGGAGAGCCTCCTTCTTGTGGGACAGGTATCTCTGCAGCTCCTCAATGCAGGTCTCCTCCAGGTAGACTTTAATTTTCTCTGTCCATTCTGGATCCTCCTCCCACTTCTCCTTGACCTTCTGGGCCTGGGGCTGAGCTGCCACCCATCTGAGGGTCTCCTTGTCGAAGCTGATGAAGTCCCACCCATCGTAGCCATAGTGGAAATATCCTCCTTTGCTCCCGTCTTCCCTGAGCTCACAGCCCAAAACCACCTGCCAGGTGTGAAGCCCTGGAAGAGACCCAGAGGGAATGGATGTGAATAAAAAGGGTCCAGGATCCGTCTCTTTAGGGAGCATTATAGTCTACCCATCTTCCCATCTGGGGAGAGAAACCTGATTTCTCCTTCCTCTCTTTATCACAGGAGGAGAAATGTCTTTTACTTCAATTCTTTTTGACTGCTTTCAGGTCATGAAGAATGTATAGGTGAGGGGAGATAATTGGGGGGTCAGGGGCTGGGGAGTGGGGTGTCTTTCCTTATCAGGAAAGAAAATATCACTATTATGCTCCCTGCGGCCATTGGTTGCCAAAGATGTCACTGGCTCTGCTCACCTCCAGCACGGCGGTCCAGTTTTGATAACTTCTCCAGGTCAGCCCTGAAGACTCTTTCAGGGGCCAGAAAGGCCTCCTTCTCCACCTCCTCCATCCAGGGCACCAGAGGCTCCATCTTCCTGGTGAGGCTGTCATAGTGAGCGATGGGCTGGTCATCCAGGTAGCTCCTAATGGAGAACTGAGGAAGCCCCTGGTTGGGCTCTGGCAGTTGCAGGTAGAAGTAGCACAGGGAGTGTGAGGGAGAGCCTGGAAAGGGAGGAGGGGAGAATGAGGGGATCTGCATTGCAGCTCCATCCCCTCCAACATTTTACTCTCCCCCAGCACCCCCAACAAGGGGTTCTCGCCCTCTTTCTGCTCTGCTTGGGAAGGTCCCTACCTTAAATCTAAGGAAGAAGTTTCAGCGTCCCTTGGCTGACCTTAAAACCATCTTGGCAGGCCCACATCTGGTTATGCTTCCCCCACAGATCCTCTGGACCCCCAGGATTCCCAGCCAGCTGCTTGTGTGCCTGACTCCGATCACACTCCTCCTTGCCCATTGCCACAGGAGGATTGACTTGGAGCTTTCTTTGAGGGTCAGAGACCTGGCTGCCCTCCAGGGAGGCATCCAGTTTTCTGTTGGGTTTGGAGCAGGGGTGAAATGCTCCTGGATCGCCTGATCCGGTAGCAATCTTGGCTGGTGGTTCGGTGATCCGGTAGCATCGTTGGGAGCATAGTTCTACCCACCCAGGTGGTTTTTTTTACCTCCTGCGTATGCGCAATTTTTAGATTTCACCCCTGGTTTGGAGCAGAGGTGGGTTTCAGCAGATTCTGACCAGTTCTGGAGAACCGGTAGCGGAAATTTTGAGTTTTAGGTGGGATGTTGTTTTAAATTTTGGGGCCAAAGTTGTGTAATTCTTTTAATCATTTTTAAATTTTTTATTGGTATGTTTTTATTCTTGGCTGTTTACCGCCCTGAGTCCAGCAAGAGAACGACGGTATACAAATTGAATAAAATAAATAAATAAATAAATAAATGGTAAATACCACCTCTGACTGGCCATGCCTCCCATCTATTCTGTGCCTCCTGATGACTGGGAGGAAATGGGGCTTTTGCAGTAGCCTTCCTCTGCAGGCCCACCAAGCCATGCCACCCCCACTGAACCGGTCGTAAAAAATTTTGAATCCCACCACTGGTTTGGAGCTCCAAAGTAGGTCGCCCCCCCCCCCCCAGGAGAGGAAAGGGTTTGAGCTCTGAAAGTTCCTCTGTTCTGGAAAAATAAAATAAAATAAAGCTGCAAACGCTTCTACAAGCAGCCCCTCCTTTTCTTAGCCCCTCTTTTTTTTTTTTTTTATTGCAAAAGTTTTACAATTACATTTTCACCCCATTTTCCCCCCCCATCCCACCCCCCGCTCCCCACCCTAACCCCCCTCAAACCCCCCCTAACCCTCCCCCCCTGACTTCCATGAAGTATAATCCCATCAAAGTCCCCTTTTTACAAAACTTGAACCCCTCAAACCCCCTTAGAAAAAAAAAAAAATTCCCCCCCCTCACAGTATTCATACATTTCTATTTTTATATAATACTTTCAATGAAAAGCTATTTGGTATTTCCTAACTTGATATTTGTTCTGCACATAATCTATCCACTTTTTCCATTCCCATTCATAAGTCTCTTGTGAGCGATCTTTTAAAAATGCTGAAATCTTCGCCATCTCTGCAAAACTGGCCATCTTCAAAGTCCATTCTTCAATAGTGGGTAAAGACTCATTTTTCCAATATTTACCTATCAATAACCTCGCTGCTGTGATCATGTACAATATCAACTTAATTTCAGCCAGTGTAAAACCCTTTACTATACCCAATAAGAACAATTGTGGGGAAAATGGAATTTTTCTCTTCAAAACATTCTGCATAACCCACCATATTTTAATCCAAAAAGCCTTAACTTTCTTACAATTCCACCAAACATGATAATATGTAGCATCTAAACAATCACATCTCCAACATTTTGGCTGAACATTAGGATACATACAGGATAATTTCTTGGGATCTAAATGCCATCTGTAAAACATCTTATAAAAATTTTCCCTCAAATTCTGCGATTGTGTAAATTTAACATTCTGAACCCATATCTTTTCCCATGTTTCTAACATCACTGGTTCTTCAAAATTTTAGCCCCTCTTGTCTACCCTCCCCCCCCCCCCGTCTCTCCTGCGGCAACCTCCTCCTCCCCCCCCCCCCCCGCCTTTCTGCTTCCTCCCCTCTCCCCTCTCCAGACACTCACCGCAGAAGCCCCCCGGCAAGGAGGCCCCCAGCACCGCCCCCAGGAGCCAGAGGGGAGCCCGTGGCGGCTGCATCGCCCTCCAGGCCCCCTGGCCTTTTACACCCGCACCCCAAGGCCCCAAGCCTCGGTCACCGCAGCTCACCCGAGAACATCTCAGCCCCTTTTGTTCTCCGCTGCAATTTCTCTTTTATAGAGGCTCAGCCTGGGAAAGCCCCGCCCCCTTTTCCCTCAGATGGGTGGGAATGGAGATTTTGCTGTATCCTTCCCCCAGGAGTGGGGTGGGAATGGAGATTTTGCAGTATCCTTTCCCCAGGAGTGGGGTGAGAATGGAGATTTTGCAGTATCCTTCCCCCAGGAGTGGGGTGGGAATGTATCCTTTCCCCCAGGAGTGGGGTGGGAATGGAGATTTTGCTGTATCCTTCCCCCAGGAGTGGGGTGGGAGTGGAGATTTTGCTGTATCCTTCCCCCAGGAGTGGGGTGGGAATGGAGATTTTGCAGTATCCTTTCCCCAGGAGTGGGGTGAGAATGGAGATTTTGCAGTATCCTTCCCCCAGGAGTGGGGTGGGAATGTATCCTTTCCCCCAGGAGTGGGGTGGGAATGGAGATTTTGCAGTATCCTTCCCCCAGGAGTGGGGTGGGAATGTATCCTTTCCCCCAGGAGTGGGGTGGGAATGGAGATTTTGCAGTATCCTTCCCCCAGGAGTGGAGTGGGAATGGAGATTTTGCAGTATCCTTCCCCCAGGAGTGGGGTGAGAATGGAGATTTTGCAGTATCCTTCCCCCAGGAGTGGGGTGGGAATGGAGATTTTGCAATATCCTTCCCCCCAGGAGTGGGGTGGGAATGGAGATTTTGCAGTATACTTCCCCCAGGAAGGGGGGGTTGGCCCGGGCGAGCCTCTCTCGGTCCCAGGAGAGATTGTGGCTTCAGGGCAATAAACGAACTCAGCCGAGAGGGGGCAGCATAGGAAAGGAGAGGAGAAAAGGCAAGAACAGAAGCCACTGAAGGGGAAAAAACCAGATCAGGAGAAGAGAAGATTACAATAATAAGAGGGGAAAAGTGATTATGCTGCAAAGAAACAGGGACTTCTGCTATCTCCGAAGACCCAATGATACTCTTCAGCCCAGATACTCTTCAAGGGCAGCCCCATATAGAGTGCCTTGCAGTAGTCCAACTAGGAAGTGAACAGAGCATGAGTGATTGTGAGCAGAGCCCCTCAGTCTAGGAACGGGTGCAATTAACACACAAGACAAAATTCAGTAAAAGCTGTTACAGGGGAACACATACACACACAGACACACACAGACACACACACACAGAGGATTCCTTAATACCAGTGGGGTGTTTTGGCCCTCTGAGCTCATGCCCAGAGCCTGGACAGGGGACCCCGGGAGACCACCCAGGCCTTTGGCTGCTGCTGCTGAACACTCGGTTGGTCAACAAGAAGGAATTAGGAAGTCCTAAATCTGAAGTCTTGGCTGGAACGAAGGGAGATCCAACCTGGAATTAAGGAGAAAGGTCTGCAGGGAGAACAATTAATCAGTGGAATGATTACCTCCGGGAACTGGTGGTGCTTCAAGACGGGAGGTTTTTAAGAAGAGTTTGGGCAGCCATTTATCTGGAGTGGTAGGGGGTCTCCTGCTTGAGCCAGGGGTTGGACTAGAAGACCTCCAAGGCTCCGAGGTTTACGGATTAATGGAGTTGGAAGGGACCTTGTAGGTCATCTAGTCCAACCCCCCCACCCCCGCCCAAGCAGGAGACCCTACACCATTTCTGACAAATGGCAGCCCAATCTCTTCTTGAAAGCCTCAAGCGATGAAGCTCCCACAACTTCTGTTTCACTGGTTGAACAGCTTCCTTCCAACTCTCATTCTGAATTCTCCTCTGTTCCATTTTCTCATGTGTCACACACACTTTTGCAGAGCAGGAATCCCTGAGGCTTTCTGGACTGGGAGTGGGTGAAGTGAGTGCCAGACCCAGCCTGCATTGCAAATGAGTCAGATCCGGAAGGCAAAGCACATTGACTGGAGGTGGCTGACAGATGTAAAAACCTCAAAGGCAAAACTCAATAAACCCCCCCCACCCTCCTGGTGACAAACAACCAAACCAATAGCTCTGCCCACCCCCAGCCCCCAAATCAAAGCAAAACCAGGGCATTTGGAGAGAGTATCAAGGTGGAGGCCAATCTTATCTCCATGGGGATGAGGTTCCCCAGGGAAGGAACCACCAAGGAGAAGGATCTCCTCCTTGGTCCCATTCGATGGACCTCCTTAAGGGAGGGGACCCATAACGTACACTGCCTCCCCACTTCGGTCTCTCTGGTCGAGGTCATTGGGAAAGATTGCTAGGCCTCCAGTGTGGCCTTTAACTCCCATTGGGACCCTAAAAGTTCACGTTCTAGCTTAGGGAGCTGGAGCAAGAGGTTGTAATAAATTGCACGGGGTTCTATGGAACAAATACCTGGGGACTCTAAGGGGCAATAGTTCCACATGGTAGAAATAAACTCATTGTGGGGCTAAATCACTCTGGAACCCTAACAATAGCAATAGCACTTAGTCTTGTATACTGCTTCACAAAGCTTGACACCCTTCTCTAAGCTGGTTAGGATCGAACTGCTGGCAGAGGGCAGAGCTAGCTTGCAATGCCGCATTCTAACCACTGAGCAGAGCTTGCTAGTTAGCTAGCTAAATAGACGGACACACAGATATAGGCAAACAGACAGACAGAGGTAGGTAGATATTGTAGAAAGACAGTAGATAGAGAGTTATTGGATATATGATAGTTAACAAATAGCACTTAGACTTATATACTGCTCCCCACTGCTTTGCAGCCCACTCTAAGTGGTTTACAGAGTCGGCATATTGCTCCCAACTATCTGGATCCTCATTTTACTGACCTTGGAAAGATTGAAGGCTGAATCAACCTTGTGCTGGGGAGGACTGAACTGCCAAATTGCTGGCAGCCAGCAGTCAGTAGAAATAGCCTGCAGTACTGCACTCTAACCACTGGGGCTCTTGTCTGTTCTGGTGATTCTGATTTCAGAGCTGGTAGTTGGGAATTCCTGAGCTTGGACAGAAGGTCTGGTTGGATTCTGTTTCTGGAGCCTCTTTAAAATGACCCTCCCTTCCCACCCATGGTAAGATTCCCACACCTGTTTGTTAAAGTTGTTCTTTACATTTTTATTTCATTCAAAAACTTTACAATAGATTCTTTAAAAAAGACTTACAAAGAGAAAACAAAACTAGATAAAACATTTTTTAAAAAATTGTGCATCAAAAAAGACAAAAATACACATACATGTACAGTGTTGTCCCCTCTTGTTGAATACTGATAGATGTATTACAACAATAATAGTGCAAAACAGGCCCACATGTTTATTAGACTCCTTCTTTAACATTTTCTCTTTTAAATAAGTGAGCGTTCTTAAATGAGATCTTCCTTCCTCAGGAAACTGGTTCTCCACACATCCTTTTGCCCAATCTCTCTTTTTATTGAAAAAGTTTTTCAAATACAGATTTCCCCCCCCTTTTTCCCCTCCTCCTCCCTAACCCCCCTCACCCTCCCCACCCCCCATGGCTTCTCCAAAAATAAAATCCAGATTGATATCAAATTATATAATATTTTACCATCCTTTTACACCACCCCCTACATGCTAACCATTTCTTTCTAACATTGTTATTATATCCCCACTATACTATACATTTCAAAGCAACCTTCAGCTATAAAACTATATAATAAATCCTAATTTGACATTTACTCAACTCATAATCTACCCATTTCCTCCCCCATGCATATATCTCCTAATTCAAATCTTTTACGTATATTTATATCTAAACATAACATCCCTTTTCCTAAACTAAACAATCAGTAACCTAACCCATCTCCACCCATTTTCCTACAGGTCTACCATACATAATATTTTTAATATATTTGTTCTTCTGCCCACACCACACAACTAAAAAATATTTCCATATATGAATAAAATCCTCAAATGACTTTAAATTTATAATCCATATAGTGTCTTCTGTAACGTCTTTCAACTAGATTATTAATTCCATCGCCCATGTTAGGGTAACATCAGGTTCAGCTTCCAACAATATATTCAGTATCTTCCATTACCATCTGCCCCCATCAATAGTAAGTATTTTCGTATATAAAAAACCACCTGAGTGACTTTATATTTATATTCCATATGGTATCTTCTGTAGTGTCTTTTATCTAGATTATTAATTCCAACCACCACATTGGGGTAACAACCAGATCTTCTGCATGCCCCAATCCCATAGTTCTCTTGCCTTATAACTCAGCATATACGTAATCCATTTTTCAAAGAGTCCAAAATAGAAAGTTCCAATCCACTCAATCAGAGGCCATCTTCCACATCCCAAAAGCACCAGCACTGCAGAGATCTGTTAGTCTTCTCAAAATAATATAAGTCAATAATTTGCCTCAATTATATTTTCATATATCAGCCATCTATAAATCCCACTTATTATATTTAATCGTCTCTTCAATAACTGGCATTAGACTGTTGTTTAGTTTAAAAAATTTTAGTTTTGTAGAACCTGCTTCTTCTTTTCTTAACTTTTTGTGGTTTAGATCTCCATCCTAGTTGCCTTTCTAAGACTTGTATATCAGCTGATTGAGTTCCATGCTGGTCTGTAACTTGATAAGACATCTCATTAGAATCCAAAGCCGCCTCTCTTATATTTATAAGTAATCCAGCTATAACCTCTGAAGGAGAATCCAAAAGCGGCTCGTCCAAAAAGGCCTCTGTAACTTGTTGTTTTTCCATAACCTCCATCTCCATCTGCTTAGCCTGAGTTTCAATCTCTTGTTCATTTTGCTTTTCTTTATTCCCCTCCTGTGTTCCTGACACTGATGGCATACGTGGAGATGTTGGATCCATTTTAAAAACCTTGTAGTAAAATTCTTCCGCTTTTTCAACAGTATTTAATTGATATCTTTCTCCTTGGTATCTCAATATGCTTAATGCATTGTAAGCCGCCCTGAGTCTCCGGAGAAGGGCGGCATATAAATCGAACCAATAAATAAATAAATAAATAAATAAATAAATAAATAAATAAATAAATAAATAAATATATATTATACCAACTGTCGAACCAATAAATAAATAAATAAATAAATAAATAAATAAATAAATAAATAAATAAATAAATAAATAAATATTATACCAACTGGAGCATCCCACCTAAATGGGATGTTTTGTTTTTTCAGATTATCATACTTTCGTTGTACCAACTCTTTAATTTCCTGCCTGATTTTTTCAAGATTCTGGTTCACAATCTCATCATGTCTTGCCATCTCCTCCAAAACAAATTCCTTTAGGTCTTTAGAGCCATTCTTCTGAATCTGCAAGCTCAAAACTTGCTCATATGATTTGTAGATGGGGGAAAACCCCCCCCCCCACAGCTTGGTTGTCTGGCTTTATCTGTTTTAACGCCATCCTGCCCCACAAACAAACTCTTTTTTTAAAAAAAAAAAGGACTTTCCTCCAAACAGTATCAATATCAAGTCTCTAAGAAGGAAGAAACTTAAAATAGAAATTTTTCTCTTCAATTCTAGCCAGCGCTATTGCTTCAGATACTTTGTAGCATATTAAGCTATTCAAACGGAAGGACTTTCGCTTTCAACTTTCTTCTTCTCAAGCCTCAGCCAGTCGCCATTTAAAAAACTTTCTTTCTTCACTTTTAAAATCACTCATAGAATTGTTAGAAATACTTGCGATTTAGGGTCCCAAGTCCGGATTTCATCCTATTTATTCAGACAATCTGTTAGATTTTGTTGATTGGATTGGTCCCATCGCCTGGCTCTGCAAGAGGCAGAGTTCCCCCGACGCCCGGAGCAACGGCGAGCTGTATAGGGAGCCACATTCTGCTTCCTCCCCAAGAGGAAGTTCACAGAGGGCTCTACCTGTCCTCGCCAGCTCTATCTCATGTCTCCTAAGGAGATGGAGTTTTTCGAGCTGTCTCTCAGCTGTAGAGACGGCACTTTACAAGCGGCGAGGCTGGCGGTCCCGAAAGACCGTCTGGTGGCGGCAGAAACCAAACCGGAAGCCCTTTTGCCCAATCTCTCAATAAACAACTATTTTTAAAGATCTTTTGCCATATTTTTGTAACATAAAAGCTCAGAGGCTCCCTAGTAAATTCTGGGAGTTCCTTTCCCTGGCATGCAAGCCCAACAACCATACCTGATGGGTGGAAAAGTGTAAGACTTTTCTTTATAAAGAAGCAAGTTCTAAAATGGGACCCCCACTTGCTCCACAGAGGACGCCCTTTTATACAGTTTTGGAAAGCACAAATTGCCATGAACAAGTCATGAAAACACACATACACCAATCATTTAGAGCAATATCATAAAAACTGTCCATCTTGTGTAATCATAGTTACGGCTAAAGTTCAAGTAAAGCTTCGGAGTTATTGGAGACGTTGACCTGATCAATACTATTCCTACACTGAAAGCATCCTTAAGCCACTTGGGTACCAGCATCTCTTCCATCACCTTCACGGACAGGCATCCTTCAGCAGGAAGGCCGATGGTCTGATTTTCATCTATTGCAGGTCAAAAACAGATCAACTAGTGCATAACCTCATCAATAGATACATGGTATCTTGCCACTGTAATCTCTAGGTGTTAAACCAGCAATAAATATATTAATTTATTCAATGTATTGAAGTTGTCATTTTGTAAGCCGCCTTGAGTCCCTAGGGAGAAAGGCAGCATATAAATCGCAATAAATAAATAAAATAAATAAATAAATAAATAATACATGAATAAGAATGGTCTCTCCATCCCCCCCCATCTCTTTCTCTCCCTCCCGTCCAGTTCTCCTCGCAGAGACATCCCTCATTTTCCCAGGGTGCCCAACATTTTCTTCCATTCTCACATTCTTCTCTTAGAGCTGGTGGGCCAGATGTTCCCTGAAGAACTGATCAAAGGGTCCCAGGCAGGAGGGGCTGAGCCCCAAAGAAACCCCACACAGCCCACAATCCTTCCATGGCTACCTTGGAAAGATTTAAGAGGGTGGATTCCTCACCCTCAACAAGCCTGATGATCTTGGCTGTCAGCCTATTTTCCAAGCTCGGAGTTTAGTCTCTTAAATAGATTTCAGCAATATTCAGGCTCACCTCAGGTTATTTTAGGATGGAGCATCACCTACGACTGAGGAGAAGGAAGCAGTTCTAGAGAAACCTCATCAGGGCAAGTTGTCTCTTCCTGATGGCATTTTTTCCTGAATCTCCACCAGCAGCCTGATAGATAGTGAAAAGAGAAGACAGCCAGATTACTTTGGGGGCAGCAGCTTCTGTCTGGGCTATCTGGGCTGGAGGGGATTTATGCTAAAGACCTCAAAGGGCCCAGATGGGACAACTACCTGGATTTTAACTCAACATCTTGAGAAAAATATATTTGTCCTTCCTCTGTTTATTTCAAGGGCAAAAAAGAGCCTTGATAGTACAGTGGTTTAGTGCACCCTGTTATTAACACAGCTGCCTGCAATTTCTGCTGGTTCGAATCTCTCCAAGGCTCAAGGTTGACTCAGCCTTCCATCCTTTCTAAGGTAGGTGAAATGAGGAGCCAGTTTGTGGGGGCAATAAGCTGACTTTGTATAAAATATACAAAAGTATGAAGGCTATTGCTTAACGCATTGTAAGCCGCCCTGAGTCTCCGGAGAAGGGCGGCATATAAATCAAATTAAAAAAATAAATAAATTGTTGGCTGTCAAGAGTTGCTACTCAGGGGGAAAATGAAATGAAAGATTCCTGGAAGTTCTTGAGAAATGACCAAGTTGAAACTATCCATGTTCTAATTACAGCTCCTATTAAGAAACCACGGTCCTGTTTTTCCACCCTTTTTCAAAGATGTCCTGCAGATGTCCTCTTCCCACTTGTACTAAATAGCACTTACTTGCACTAAAAGCATCATGAATCACTTTTAAGCAACAACATGGAAGGACTATTTGACCAAATGGACAATAAACATGGATTAGCTTAGTGCTGGGAAATAGGGAGGAGGGAATGACAGTTGGGGAAGACCAGGGATGCTTTGAACCAGATCGTGACAGCCTTCAAGGACACTGAGAAGACAGAGATGCTTGAGAGGGGAGGATGGAATTGGAGGGAAATAGTCTGTATGCTTTTGCATGGGAAATTCAATTCTAGTCGGCTACCAACATATGCTACCAACATCTTTTAGTAAAAGAACTCATCCCTTCATCCAAATGGAGGTTGTTTTTTTTTTTTAATTTGATTTATATGCCGCCTTTCTCCGGAGACTCAGGGCGGTTTACAATGCACTAAGCAATAGCCGTCATCCTTTTGTATATTTATACAAAATCAGCTTATTGCCCCCACAATCTGGGTCCTCAATTTACCTACCTTAGAAAGGATGGAAGGCTGAGTCAACCTTGAGCCTGGCGAGATTCGAACCTGCAGTAATTGCAGGCAGCTGGTCTTAATAACCAGCTTAATAACAGGGTGCCTTAAACCCCTGTACTACCAAGGCTCTTAGTCTTCATCCAAATGGAGTTGTTTTTTTTTTTAATTTGATTTATATGCCGCCTTTCTCCGGAGACTCAGGGCGGTTTACAATGCGCTAAGCAATAGCCGTCATCCTTTTTGTATATTTATACAAAATCAGCTTATTGCCCCCACAATCTGGGTCCTCATTTTACCTACCTTAGAAAGGATGGAAGGCTGAGTCAACCTTGAGCCTGGCGAGATTCGAACCTGCAGTAATTGCAGGCAGCTGGTCTTAATAACAGGGTGCTTTAGACTACTGTACTACCAGGCTCTTTTTTTGAGGGTCTTTCTTTCCTAAGGGATCGGATTGGGGCAGGTTTGGTTTTTTTAATACTCCAAAGCCCAATTCCTACCTAACCAGCTCTAAGAAAAAGCAACGATGGCTGATTGTGGAAAGCTAAGCAGGTCTGACTGGCTTGGCACTTGCACCCGAGACTGGCGAGCAAGCAAATCTCAAGCAGGTCAAAAGGCCCATCCTAGAAGAAGGAAATGAAGGAAGGAGGAAGCACTTCTGCACTGTTGCTGAGAATATTATACCGATGTGAATGGATAAGAAGCAATGGATGGAAACTAAACAAGGAGAGAAGCAACCTAGAACCAAGGAGAAACTTCCTAACTGTGAGGACAATTAACCAGTTGAATGGCTTCCCTTCAGAAGTTGTGGGTGATCCATCACTGGAGGCTTTTAAGAACAGACTGGGAGGTCACTTGGCTGGAATGGGATAGGGTCTCCTGCTTGAGGTTGGAGTAGAAGACCTCCAAGGTCCTTTCTAAGTCTACTATTTTGTTCTGGGTTGCCCTGCACTTGGTGAAGCTCAAGTGAGGAAACCCTTCCCGCATCCCTCCTCCCTCCTCCCTCTCTCGACTCTTGCTCTGAGTAGGAGCAGAAGAAGCAACAGCTTCCTCCTTCCTTTCTGACTCTTGCCATCAACAACTCAGTCAATGCAGAAAGACCCAGGGGTGGAGGTCAGTGGCTGTTTCGCTTACCTATCAGGAAGAGAATCGCAGCTCCTGAGATTAAGCCTGTAACAATTTCCACAGGAATCCGCAACCCTGTAGCTAAAGAAGGAGAAAGATGGTTCTGATTAGACAGATGCTGAGTTCCCTGAAGTGGAGATGCTGAGCAATGGAAACCTTTCCCAACCCGTGTTGGCCTCCAGAAAGTGCCCCCACCTGAAGGAAGCTCCTCCCCCCCCAAGCTAAAGAGAGAAGAGCAAATGGCCTTGAAGAGCAGAAGGAGCCACCATCCATCATCTCATATATCATCATATTTTCATATTATTCCTATTAAGTTACCATTTCCAACCCTTCTCACAGAAATCACTTCTCTCCCATTGCTAAATAGATGGCTATACCGTATTTGCTGCTCTCCACCTGAAAACATGAGATGATGCAGCAGCAAACTCCCCCCACATTGTCAAATATTGATGTAACTTCCACACAAAGTTTTTTTCTACACATAACAACCCTGTTATCCTCTCACCTGTTTTGTCCTTGAAATCAAACACCAAGGTCAAGCCCTCATGCTCCAGGTGACACTGAAAATGGTTTTTCTCCTTGGGGTCGATCTCAATGCTGAGCCAAACATAATTGGTCCCGTCTGAGTTGGGGACCACATTCCTTGGGAGGGTCTCATATAGGCAGACTTCTCTGTCCTTCATCCAGGTGGCCTGGATCTCCTTGGGGTAGAAGCCAAAGGCTTGGCAGATGAGGATCTCCAGGCTGTCATCCACCACCTTGGAATTCACCTTCCCCACTGGGGGCTCTGCAGAAACAGCAACACCAGAGTTCCTGGGTTCTCTTCGAGTTTCTTTTAAGATGATTTAATTCACAGGGAAGTCCTCATTTGGCCATCCTCTCCCTCTCCATTTGCCACTCACCGATCCTCTGTGGAGACTTCTTCTGGTAGGGCAGGAATCTCTGCAGCCCCTCAATGCAGGTCTCCTCCAGGTAGACTTTAATTTTCTCTGTCCATCCTGGATCCTCCTCCCACTTCTCCTTGACCTTCTGGGCCTGGGGCTGAGCTGTCACCCATCTGAGGGTCTCCTTGTCGAAGCTGATGAAGTCTGTCCCATTGTAGCCGTAATGCAAAAATCCTCCTTTGCGCCCATCTTCCCTGAGCTCACAGCCCAAAACCACCTGCCAGGTGTGAAGCCCTGAAAGAGACCCAGTGTCAGGTTCCAAGAAGATAATACAGGAAACAAACAAAACAAACCTGGTTTGATGCTGTTACCTTTTATTCCTGGCACTCACTGACCACTTAAAACGAAATTATTGTTAGGGCTAACTTCCTAGGATTCCCATCACCTTTTACACAATACACCAGTGCACCAGGGGTGGGTTCTACTTACCTTTACCAGAAGCGTTTTGATGACGTCGGGGTTGGTGGGCGGAGCCTCCCGCTGGTTTTTTTACAGGTTCTATAGAACCGGTGCGAACTGGAGGCAACCCACCACTGCAGTTCACCCAGCCCTCATTATCCAATCCCCAACACCTACCCTGCCCATGTGACCCAGATGTATGGTTAATGTGTTTTACTCTAATTGTAATTCTTAAAGTCAGTTCCTTAAAGGGGAAGTTCTACTCTAGTAACTGTAATTATTAAAGCCAGTCTCTTAAGGGGGAAGTGTTTATGTAGGTTTCCTTGGAACATGCTGCTCAATCTTGGCTCTGAGCGTAACAGCCGGCTCTGGGATCGAAGGAGAACGGCAGGGGAGTCTTGACGAAGTCATCACCTTCCTGACGTCATCACCGTGTGGCCGCCTCACAGCTGTTCGGCAGCCACCCGGCTTCTCGGGGACCATCCTGGATGATGGATCGACTCCTCGCCCTCCGTCCCAAGTCCTCAGCAGCTGGCAAGGTAGCATGCAGGGCCTCTGTCCTCCGCAGCTGTAGTGACGGCCATTCTCCCCTGAATGGCAGCTCCAGGCCGTTGGGTACGCTGGACCTGACACTCAGAGGGGGTGGGTATGAATGAAAAGGACCCAAATTCCCCTAGAGAGCATTATAGCCAACTACCTCTCCCCTCACCCCCTCTTTTCCTCTTTATCATACAAGGAGAAATACCGTCTACTTGAATTAACCCTTTCTGGCCTGTGTCAGGGCATGAAGAATTTCTGGGAGAAGGAGATGATTGGGGTAGGGCATAGGGAGTGGGGTGTCTTTCCTTATCAGGAAAGAAAATATCACTATTATGCTCCCTGCAGCCATTGGTTGCCAAAGATGTCACTGGCTCTGCTCACCTCCAGCACGGCGGTCCAGTTTTGATACCTTCTCCAGGTCAGCCCTGAAGACTCTTTCAGGGGCCAGAAAGGCCTCCTTCTCCACCTCCTCCATCCAGGGCACCAGAGGCTCCATCTTCCTGGTGAGGCTGTCATAGCGAGCGATGGGCTGGTCATCCAGGTAGCTCCTAAAGGAGAACTGAGGAAGCCCCTGGTTGGGCTCTGGCAGTTGCAGGTAGAAGTAGCACAGGGAGTGTGAGGGAGAGCCTGGAAAGGGAGGAGGGGAGAATGAGGGGATCTGCATTGCAGCTCCATCCCCTCCAACATTTTACTCTCCCCCAGCACCCCCAACAAGGGGTTCTCGCCCTCTTTCTGCTCTGCTTAGGAAGGTTCCTGCCTTTAAAACCTTGGCTGACCTTAAAAACATCTGGGGAGACCCACATCTGGTTACAGTGCCCCCACAGCTCCACTGGGCCCTCGGGATTCTTGTGTGCCTGACGCTGATCACAATCCTCTTTGCCAAGCACAGGGAGTGTCATGGGACTGGAAGATTTGCCTGGAGCTTCATCTTGGAGTTAGAAATCTGGCTGCTCTCCAGAGAGTCAACCCAGCCCCTCCCCCCAACCTCCATCCCTTCCCAGGTGACTCTATTTTCTGAGCAGTTTGGGGCTCCTTCCCAGGTAGCCTGGTCCTTTGCCAGCCCAGCGGTGGAACAGAGATTTGTGGGAATAGGTTGAGCTCTGAAGGTTCCTCTGTGATGTAAAAATAAAAATAAAAAAAAAAACTTCAAACTCTTCTACAAGCAGCCCCTCCTTTTCTTTGCCCCCAACTCTCCTGTGCCAACCTCTTTTCCTGGCCTTTGCCTCCCACACGCGTGTAAATTAACCAGCACCAGGAGAAGGCATGCCAACATCCCCTTTTCTCTCCGCTATTTTCTCAGAAATATAGATGGGAACGGATTACAAAAGAAACACCAAAAGTTCCTAAACGAGGCTCGGCGAAGCGTCGGGAGGGAAGGCAGATTTGTCCTTCTGGGAAAGGAGCTTCGAGGGGGAGAGACCCAGCCCAGGACAGGCTCCCCCTCCCCTTCTGCTTCCTCCCCTCCAGGTCGCAGGTCCTCCTAAGAACTCACCGCAGCGGCCCCCCCCCACAAGGAGGCCCCCAGCACCGCTCCCAGGAGCCAGAGGGAAGCCCGTTGCAGCCGCATCGCCCTCCAGCCAGGCGCGGCTTTTCCATCTGCAAGCGAAGACACGTCCTGCATCCTCTCCGCCAAGAGAAGCCCCGCCCCTTCTCAGCCACTCGCCCCCACGTTCCAGAGAACCAAATCTCTGGGACTGAACTTTCCCGTAGGGTTGCCAGGTGTCCACTATTTGAGCGGACAGTCCACTTTTTTCACATTATGTTCACTATTTTTTTTTCACAAAATAGTGGACATTTTTTTTATTCAAAAGCTTTATGATGAAACGGTACGTAAGTTTTGCGAGTCAGAATTCCATGAAGTTTTGCTCCATGTTCCAACACGTTGGTTAAGTTTGTTTAAAGCGGTGGAAAGACTTCTTTTAAACTGGATACCTCTAAAATCGTATTTTATTTCTCTTGAATCTGATGAGTGCCATAAGGTTATCTGGAACCTTATTTCGGATCAGGAAAATGAACTCGCAAAGGACGATGAACCAACAATTTCAGAATTGTATTTATATTTCACGCACTTCTTCATGTCAATAATGCAAGACACCCTACTGAAGCTGGAAAGCAAGAAAATTCTTGCATGTGATCTTCACATTATCATATGTAAGCTGCGTGATTCTTTGCAAAAAAAATACGATGAGCAGTTTTTTGGAATGAAAGTTTTATTTGCCTTACGTAAAAAACATTTGCCTGAGAATGCCGTGCAAAAGTTCAAGAAAGAAGCCATCAACATGTATCAAAGAGCCATTGCGTGCCTAGAAAAGTGGTATAATTTCACCAATTCAGTATATGAGACGCTAAGTTGTTTCAATCTAATTGATCGCAATAATCCTCCAGCTTTAGAAGAAATGACGAACATCTGGTTATTATCACCATGGCGAGAAGAACTTCCGCCCAACACTCTCTTCGATGAAATTTCTGCCTTAGAAGAAGTTTATGTTCATCTGCAGGGCGATTCATCCCTTGATAAGTGGACGTACTTTTTCAAGAAAGAGCCAGCTCCGAGTTTACTGAAACTGTTCCAGTATTGTGCATCAATTCCGGTATTAAATGCAAACGTTGAACGAATTTTCAGCGTCATGGGAAATTTGTGGACTGATGAACGTAACCGACTGCTTGTACCATCAGTTCAAAATGAACTTTGTATATTTTTTAATATTTCTCAACGTTGTACTGAAATTAAAGAATTATTCCTTAAACACAAAGAATTGATCAAAGCTGCGCAGTCAAATAAAAAATACACACGACAGCAAAGTAAAATGTAATTTAATATTTTATTTATTATTATAATATATTTGATGTTTTGAATTTTAAGTAAAGTTTTGAAGTGATTATTTTAATACATGTTAAAATGTTTGTAAGAAAATATATAATTTAATTGTAAATTTTTAAAAAAAATTTTTTACTACTTAATCCCCACCCCCACCCCCGCCCCTTGTCCGCTATTTTTGGAAGCAGACCTGGCAACCCTAGACTGAAGTTCTCTATGCCATCCGCAGGCTCTCTCGCCAGTTTTGGGTCCGTGAAGGACGAGAGGAAACTGCGCTGCTCTTTTACTCTCATCCGGCCCCCAAGAAGGGGGCGCGGGGTCCTAGCCAGGCGCTCCCCTTTAGAGGATGACCAGCCAAGTTTAGCCCGCAGCCACAGCGATGCCCCCCCTTGCTGCTTCGTCTTGCGAGGCCCCTCCGAGAGACCCCCGCCTGCTCATTCCTGCCACTTCTATGGAACTTTTGGAAGACCGCAATCGTAGCTTCCTGGTGCGGTTTTATTTCTCCTTCTGACTTAGGGTCTGCTTCAGCATCCTGGTGCTGGGCTTTGGGTGAAGGCTGGAGCAAAGTGCCACTGGTGGTGAAGAGTCAGAGGGCCTCGTTCCAGTGGGACTACATCATGGCCTGGAACTGGCTGACCATCTTACCCCGCTGAGCCTCCAGGCCTTGCATTCCTACAGGTCTTCCCTCTGCTTGGAAAGCCTATGCTCATAGTCCTCAGTGAGATGCTTCTACTGAGCCTCCTTCTCAGCCAGATCCAATTTGAACTGAGCTGTTTTGCCAATTCTTTCTCATGGTGGCTGCTTAGCTCCAACAACCGCTTCCTGTTGGGGCCCTAAGGAGCCCGGGCAGGGAGGTGAACAGTGGCGAGTAGAGGCTGGCAAGGCACCCCACAATGTGAGTGACATCAAGTTGACCATGCCCACCCAGCCGGTCATTAGGCAGATCATGTTAGTGGTGCGTGGGATTTAAAATTATGAATTTAGTGGTCCCTGGGGTCCGAAAGGTTGGGGACCCCAGTCTAGAGAGGTTCCCAGGTGCTCAGAAAAACTTGTCCCCCTGCCTTCCTGGAAACCTGCAGCGGACTTGGCAGCTGTGCAAAGAAGCAAATGTGGAAGGGAAGAGATCTCAGGTGGAGACGAAACAGTGTAGAGGGGGGAAGTTCGAAAACTATCCACATGGTGCTTAAAAAACAACCTGCACCTGAACATCAGCCAGACCAAGGAGATGGTCTTGGACTTCCGGAGGAAGAGAGAGGAATCTGCCCCAATTTACATCGAGGGGGGCTGTGTGGAGAGAGTTTCCCCCTTTAAATTCCTGGGAGCCCATCTCAGGGAAGACCTCACTTGGAAAAACAACACAATCCAGGTGGCCAGGAAGGCCCAACAGAGACTCCATTTCCTTAGGGCCTTGTGATAAAAACAGGGTGAAACAACAACTGATGACCTCCTTTTACCGGCCCACAATAGAAAGCCTCCTCACTTATTGCATTACGGTATGGCATGACGGTTTGACAGCCGCGGATAGAAAAACGTTACAGAGGGTGGTGAGCACAGCAAAAACATCGTGGGCTGCCCTGCCCTGATACCACTAGATGAGACCACTAGGGCTCGCTGCCTTAGAAGAGTGAGGAAAATCCTCAGGGACAATTCTCACCCTGGTCACCACTTCTTTACCTTCCTACCATCAGGAAGGAGATATAGAAGCATAGCCAGCCACACAAACAGGCTGAAGTACAGTTTGTATCCGTGGGCTGTCGGACTCCTGAATGAGAAATAACATCATAACTACATAGTATGATGGACTGCAGGGCCGGCGCAACCTGTAACATGTTCATACTGGTACAATAGGACTGGGTGGTTGGTAATAGTTGTGGGGGCAATAAGCTGACTTTGTATAAATATACAAAAGGATGAAGGCTATTGCTGAGCGCATTGTAAGCCGCCCTGAGTCTCCGGAGAAGGGCGGCATATAAATCAAATTTAAAAAAAGAAATAGGATTTATTGGGTTAGGGATTTTCTGTCTTCACTGAGTTGTATTGTGTTGGGAGGGTGCACTGAGGGAGCTCAACCAATCTCATTGTACATATGTTATGCACTGACAATAAAGATTTGAAATTGAATCTTAAGGCAGGCCCTTGGAAAGAAGACACGGAAGTCCTCCAAGTGTGGTTGTGAGTCCGGGAGGGGGGGGGATTTCCTTCTTAAGCCCTTTACAGCCAAGCTCCGTGTTCTGAATGACACTCAGCCTCATGGAGAAAGAGGCCTGGATCTTTCCCCAAACACTCCGTCACAGAACCCACTCAGCCAACCCCCACGACACCACCAGGGGTGGGTTCTAATTTTTTTTACTACCGGTTCTGTGGGCGCGGCTTATTTTGTGGGCATGGTTTGATGGTCATGTAACAAGTCTTTAGGATTTGGAAGAGGTACTGGTCTACCAGGCTTTTAACTGCTTGCAGAGTCCTGGACTACCTATTTGTTTTTGGAGGGTACTGGTCTACTGATCAGCTGTAGGGAGGCCCTTTGAGGCAAGAATTTAAACAGGGTTTTTCCTTCCAGCTGATCAGCTGGGACTCGGAGGCAGCGAATAGAATGGGGGCAGGGCCAAATAAAAGGTAAGAATAACAGGGGGGAGGGGGGCCCAGCTCCCGAAGAAAGAGAGCCGGTTCGGTGACGTCATATCGTCACCGCTACCGGTTCGGTAGAACCGGGCCGAACCGGGAGAAATCCACCACTGGACACCACCCTTCCTTCATGGCCTCCTCATCAAAAGCTTTTCTTTCCTTTTTTCCACCCAAGAACCCTGTGAGGTAGGCTGAGCTGAGCAATGAGGTCCTAGGGCTGAGGGTGAACTTCAGCCTCCAAGAAAACATCTCAGAGAGTGGTGTTTCTGTAGTTGTGATGGGCGTGGTCTGGGCTTGGAATCTAAACCAGATGGGGCTTGTCTCCAGGACTCAGGTCCTGCAGGAGGAGAAACTCTTCCAGAAAAGGAAATAAATTCTTGGCACCTAGACAGCCTTTTTCTTCCGGAGGGAATTGTGGGTGGGGAAATCCCCCTTTTTACAAGAAGTAAACATTGGTACCAATAAAAGATTTCTTTACGTATTCAGGTTTCCCCCCCTCCCCAATATTTAAA